TTATCTTCCATTAAAGAAAGACATAGTTAAGACCTACCTAAAAGTAATTCTAAATGATTTTTGAACAAATTCTGTAGCTTTTTAAGATTCTTGTGTTTTTAAGTTCTTACAAATTATGTTCATGGTAAGCAGGTAAGGAAATAATCAACAGTTACAGAAGCTATAAGACATGGGGAACAAGAAAAAATAAAATAAAATACGATTTCAGAGTAAACTTCTGTGAGCAAATGAGGATTATATTGATATTACATACTGAAAAAAATGTGTGCCACTTCGGGAAGACTGGTAAAATGACATCAACAAGGCCTGACATTTGGTCTGGCTACATTCACATTTCATTTTATTATGATATGAGAGAATGAGAGCCTCGCACATCAACCACTAGAGACGGGTGCGTTGGAGGAGAGGGAGCAGCCCCAGAATATACAGAAAAATCCCGCACACCATCCTACCTGCAAACTGTGAAATTTATTAGGACAAACCGTGCAACGTTTCGGCACTAGGCCTTCGTCAGGCAAACAGCTGTAGGACGGTGTGCGGGATTTTTCTGTATTTTATTATGATATAGAATGCTGATTTTCTAAATCAGCATTCATACTAAAGGCCGGCGAGAACATCCTCCCTCTACTGGGCTCAGCACTTACCAGTGTGCTGCCCAAGAGAAGGGGGCACCCGGAGGGAGGAGGGGTCATTCCTGCTGAGAGAATGGGAACGCTCGAGTTGGGACTTTCAAGCCAGGGCGATGCTCGAGCCAGTAATCTTTGGGTAGTAAATTAAGTTGTAAACATAAACTAATAACAAACAATAAATAAACAACAAAGGACACCAAAAGACAGAATTGACTGATTTGATGCACAGCAATATTAAAGGCAACAGCTGGAAAATTGGTAGCTTTTTGTTATTTTTACTCAAAACGTTGAGTGAAAATAACAATAATAAAGTGAATTTAAATGGGCCTTGGTGAATCCAGTGCATACCAGACACCTGCCAACAGCGGCTTACTGAAAGATCTGAGACATGAAGACAGAGGATAAATGGTCCAGAGTTTACAGTCAACAACTTCAAAACACAGAACAATTAGAACAGCTTTAAAATTCCTCTCAACTGCACCTCAAGTTAAGTTAATAAATAAAACAGTAACATATGCCTGATAACCAGACCACAAAACATACTGATCAATATGCCATACCATATCTAATAATACATGTGTGGTGAGGGTGGTTCTATGGCAGCCAAGGTCAAATGCAGCTTTTCACCACCATGGGGACTAAAGACTGAAAAAATATACCTATTTGTTAAGGTTTTCAATCAATAAAAAATGTCTACAGTATTTCCAAAAATGATGAGTCAAAATCTTTAGTCTTCTTTCTACCATATTAGATTATTATTATTATTATTATTTATTTTTTTTTATGTTGAGTTGTGGACAGAAGCATGGCCAGCTAGATATTAACAGGATTTTAAAATGTTACAAGAAATTGATGGCAATAAAACTTTGAGGTCAAGACAGGTCTACTATGCACAATTTAATCCTCAACAAAACAATACGTAGTTAATAAAAGTGTATCAAATTGGTTTTAGACCAGCCCAGACTTTATTGCCCCTGGCTCAATCTGATAACTTACAATGGGAAAGTTATTGAAGCTTGCTTGTCTGTTCCCAAACATTAAAAGGCCTGATTTTACAAGGACTCGTTGTTGTGTCTTGTGTGAAGACCAACCTCCTCTAGTCTATCAGCGAGGTGTCACTAAATATGTTGAATCACCCAGGCTAACATAATCTATGGACCAAAGACAGCTGGGATTTTTTGCTCCTCTGGGAGATCAAACAGGAGACAGACACACTTATAAAATAGCCGTTGGTGTGAGATAGTGATCTGTGCTATCTGAACTTTGACCCCCATGGATGGCTGGTATCCTGTCCTTCTACAAAGATGTAACCAGAAACACGGTGTAAATCTTAAAAAGGGAGACAGATCAGAGATAGACTGCAAACACATAACGGCCAAACATGCTGCAGCTGTTTGCTCTTTGGTCGAAAATGTAAGAAATCTAAATACAAGCCACCATTTAGTTTCTCTGTAAATTTGTGTGACTTTTAGGGTGAATGTGGCCACAGGCAGCAAAGCTTTACCCACTAACCAGAGCGTCAGTGGTTCAAAGCTTGTGCTGTGTTACTGGGCAAGACAGTGTAACCACAGTGCCTACTCTACCTCCTGGCAAGTTATGACAGTAACAGTATTCATGTAACCCTGATGAATAAGGGAGGAAGCCACAAGAAAATAAATATAAGCAATAAACATGGGCAAACACTTATGAGCTAACATAGGCCTGTCATGATAAATACTATATTGATTTATCATTCGATGCATGAAAGATGGCCCAAATATTTTTTGGGGTCAATTTTTATCGTATTTTCTTTGCACTAAGGGGAAATTTATGGTTATTTATTTTTTTATATGATGATTATGATTTGAGCCTTAAAAGGTCGAATTACCTTCTGCGACACACTACAGATGCAAGTGTTTCATTCTGTTATTTGTTTATCAGAGCTCATGATTTTTTAACACTTTTGTAAATTTAGAATTGTTTTTGTGATTTAAATCTGCTCTTGGGCTTTTGTGTCAGTGGTATAAATTACATTTCAGTGTTATCATTTATCATCTATATTTACTTCAGCAATATATCCCAGTTCCACCAGTTTGTTATTGTGACAGGGCTAGCTAACATAAGCAGAATGAACACCACAATGGTTGTTAATGAATCCCTGTTCAATAAGCTCCATATATTTTAATGAAAGATGTGTTTAGGCACAAGGTCTTTTATCTGTAATATTAATGTTTTATTGTTGAATGTACCAGTCCAGACACTGTAGATTGAATACAGCTGTAGCTATAAAGCATCTTTTCAGCTGTGAGACTATTGTTTTGCACAGAAACTTTACAAATGAACTATAAATTAAAGCACATTCTGACTTCATGTAAAGAGTGAATTGACACAGGTAGCTTTACCATACAGATCTAATCACATACACTATATACTGGACACACTGGAAACAGCTAATAAATTCCACATTTGAGATCTGTTCCTTTTGATCAGCAATGGAAAAACACATTTGTCTAAATTGCCTCTGTTTACGTTCACAGGCTCTCTTCTGTTTATAGCTAAACCGTAAACCTTCACTACAACTCATCAATCAACTCACTTATCTCTCCTGTTTATGGATGAACAAATTTTTTTTATCAACTAATAATGTTTTTATAGTGCTTGATATAAAATGTGAGTACCGCTCCAAACCAGACTCCCAAATATTGGCAAACTCAAATACTTATTTTGCCAATAATTCTACAACCGAATGTGTGCGCAAGTCATTTCTTGTGCAGATGAATAAAACTTGTGTTCCTCTCTCTGTATTTTTTGAATATTATAAATAAATGGGATCCATGTCCATAGAGATGTTGTTGCTTTGCCTGAAACATTCCAAAATATGGCATTAAAATAATCTATCTTGCATTTATTCCATTACAGGCATTTTTATTGACCAAAATATCTTGTAAAACATGCATTGTGATAAAATATTTAGCAGTCCAGCCTCTCACCACAACCAGGTCATAGTGTGCAGTTTGCTTTATCTCCTTACAACAATACTAACATTATAACTGTGATTTGTATTACACGGGGGGAACTGACTGTATTATTGACACCAGATTAAAATCCATAACCTTAAAAACCTCTTCCACTTGAAATGCTCTGCCTTGGTTGCTTGTAAAATCAAGTTGAGCCGACTTAAAATACTCAGTTAAGGGAGGGTAGTAAATATAATTAAACTTTGCTGCACTTTGGCTACTCCTTGTCCACATTCTTTCAGGAGCCCACCAAAACATATTACCCTCGACTCCTCTCACTTTGGCATTTGGACATTCACTAAACTTCACTTTTCAGACTCAGCAGTAGGTATCCACAGCTCAACTCAAGTCATTGTGCTCCTGTCAAAACCAATAAAGGCCCTTGTGAACTACTACTGCTTTAAGTCACTGAGTAATTCTCCTCTTCTCCTCTACCTCGCCCCCTGCTGTTAAACCATGGTAACAAGGTCCACTTGGTTCACATCCTTTGAATACTAAAATCTTCACTGGAGACAATAGTTTTTTTGTAAATTAATCATTGTTTGCAATTGTTTTTTCAGTTAATGGAAGCACAAGGAGTTAATTAGACACAAGTTAAACCAATGTAGCCAACTCTTTCTGTCAGTCCCAAGCATGGATGAATGGGCAGCATTGTGGAGTAAAACAATATGCAAATCACTGCATATTTGAGAGGATAAGAAAGAAAGCAAAAAAGAAAAAATTCCATGTACAAAATAAGAAAAAATACGTAACAATAAAATAATTCAACGCTCAACACGTAACAAAGGAGTGAGGTTTGTGAACTGCCAGACTTTCAAGTTCTTGGACCACTGCAAAGGAGGATTAGGGCTATAATTACAGCCAATGGCAACATCTGCTTTGGTTGTTTTCTTCTGTAGATACCAAGATAAACTTAATTTTCATGCATTCATCATTTTAAGGTATTGCCACTGCCTTACTACGTAAAGCTAAATGTTCATCTATATTGGTTAGTAAAATAAATGGTATTTCTTTAGGAATGTTTAAGCAACTTATACAACAAAGACAGCTTCCATAAGAATCATTTGTACACAGTAATACAGTACAATAATGAATTATCCTCATGGGCCTTAGTCATTAAAAACTACTATTAAATTACAAATGAGAAAACCTTTGGCCAGAGGAACATTAAATTAAGATTCTTTTTTAATGTCTTCTGTCTGATCTCATCCATTTTCATTATAGTTCATGATTACTGCTTATAGTAAATGTAAAACAATTAGTTACAATTAGAGTTAGGCAACATTAAACTGATGGTTGACAAATCATTAATAATTTTGTGTTGTTAATTAATCTACTTATAACATATGTAATAGATATAATAATGTAATCTTACTCTGTTGTCTTCCTGTGCTTCCCATTCAGGGCTGTACTGGTGCAAAGGCTGCTGTGCCAAGCTACAGTTGGAGAATTGGAAGAGACTGGAGAAAGTGCGTCTGTTTTCCACTGTGTCCATGAAGATAGCATCCTGGAAGTTGACCCCGTGTGGGAGGAGGTTATAGTTTTCGTCCATCCTGCACCAGACATGAACAGGAGTTAATGAGACAGATAAGTGCAAGGAAGTGAGGGAGTTTAGATATAAAAGACTCCAAATGATTGTCTGAGTTTTTTTTTTTTTTTTCAGTGTAAAAGTGTTGCTTTTTCTGTAGAAGTCTTTCCAGCCATTGTTAAGATCCACTGGTCCTCTATCAGTGATGAAGTACACAATTCTTAACACACAATAGCATCTTCATTTTAAACATTAAAAGCATACGTTTATACAACAAGTGAATTTAGTTCTCATTAATCGACAATCATGTTTCTACCAAGCATCTTCCACAGATAAACAGTCAGTTTGCTAAAGCATGTTTTGATTGACTGTATGCTAGTCTTGACAAGATAGGGACAAGTGATTACATGGAGGAAGTAGGTTTAGGAGTCAAACTGAACCATCTGGAAATGCCTTCAAACATGACGAGAGACACCTTTAGTTTACTGATGGCTAGTCTCCCCCCTTTGTAAAACATATCTCATAAGTCTGAAGGAAATGACAATAATAAACATTTTAGTACAGTTTCCAAATGGTAACCCTTCAGCTTGTATCTTCTGGCAGTGATAAAACCTTATTCTGTTGTATTATGTGAGCAAAGTTGTTCAAAGTATTTCTTTTAATCAGTTACCTCTTAATTATAGGAGACAAGATGGTAGATAACCAAAGTGTGCCTTAAACAATAGTTTGGGTCTGTCTAAGCTCTAAATTACATAATTGTTTACAGTCTTTACATGAATTGTTCTCAAACTGTGGTATGGGTTCCTCTGATGGCCCATGAGGTACACATGAGGCATTAGCCGTTCAGTTCCTGATTCTTGATTTTAGTGCAGGCTTCAGCATGATGCATTGGTTTTTGAACTAAACTCACCCACTATAGTCATGGTCTGATATAAAGTTAATTTTCTCAGCATCTAGTTGTGCCTTTACAGAACTAAAGGTACACTATGAAACTTTTCAGGTTGGGGGTACTCCACTTTCATTGTTCTACCTGGAATGTTCCACACTATGGTATTTATTTGAAACAGATTGCATTTATTATTTTATTGCTCAAACATGCATGCATTCTATTTATGAGTGAGGTCACCTCTCCACAGATCTGACCTGTAACTTGACATGATGGTGTCATTTGCTTGTCTACACTGAGGTAGTAAAGTTTATTGCCATGATGAACATTTTAAACAAGGCAATAACACATATGCAAGATGTTGCAGACCCTCCTGTAAAAGTTACAAAGTTAAAGTTTGTTTTAAAGTTTGTCTTTTTGTGCATCTCACCTCAGAAAAAAGAAGTAAGAGTAGTTTTCCATCACCGTATGGGACTGACAGGAGAGGTAGCCCAGCCCGGTCAGGTTGAGTCTCGACCCGGTGGGGACCTCCAGCATGCTGCCCCACGCCTGGTCACACAAGAGTTCCACTTCAGCAGAGTACAGCAGTCCTTCCTCCGCGCTCTCGTATCCATAACCCAAACCAAACGGCAGTGAGTTGTACAGTCCTCCCGCGCTGCTCAATGTCTCACGGTGAATGGCCAAAACACGAGCATAAATGATTATCTCCGCCAGTTCAGCCCGGCAACCTTCGCTCAATGGGCGCCACTCGGATGGCAACTGACAGGCGTGCGTAAAAGTGTCCAAGTGCGCAAAAAGGAACAGGAACAAAGGCGCAACTGGTAGCATTGTAAAAGTTGTTCTTGAATAGCTGTGTCCTACTGAAATGTTATCTTTATATGGTGTTTCTTATCCAAAATAAACGTTTAATTCCCTGGTAAATGAATGCGCACACCTCCAACAACTCGCATAAAAGGCTCCAACAGGTTTACGCACACACTAGTAAATTGACCTATTACATGTATATCAAATATAAGAAATCCTAATTGTGTCATCGGATGAAGACAAAGCATCCACTTCTCAGCTCCGCTGTTGCACCCCCCAAGTCTTCATCTGTGCTCTGAGAGACAGCTTAAAGTGAGCGGTGGTGTGTTCTATCTGATAGAGGGAGGGTCAGACACTTGAGCTGTCCTCGTGGGCTGGTTTATGACCCCAACAGACCCACACACTGATGAGTATCAACATTTACTTTGGCCCTGCACAGGCGCAAACACAATCACTCAATTTATTTACAGTTTAAAAGGGCCTTGTGTAAACTCAGATGTGAGAAGAGAATACGCAAGCCATCAAATTGTAAAGCTGTTTCTTAAAAAAAAAAATCCTAAAAATAAAACCTATCATAATACTTGCCGATACTTGTTTGCAAAGTATTTATAGAGGCCTATGCCAAGACAAATAGAAGTAAAGCACTGTGGCCACTGCTGGACAACAGGGACATCTAGTGGAAAGTGTACAGTATTTACACAATCCAAATGCGCAGAGCCGTGCATGACTTTACTGTTCCTTTGTAATACACTATCGTAGTATCGTAGAAATTTGAAATATAACCTAAAGTATTCCAGATTGTTTATTATTCTATATTATTTTGGATGGGGATATGACACGGGGATTTAGGGGAGAGTTTTGAAAATGGGGAATCCCATGGTCAGCTGTCATGGAAAGTTAAAACTTGCGGAAGAAAACCTATCTTTAGCGCAGATATCCCCCGCAGTTCACCTGCTCGGGGAGAATGGCGTCACATCACGGAAACGAAAGCGCATATTTATAAAACTCACCTAGCCACCTACACTGCACCGACAAATCCTAGTTACCTTTCACAATAAATTTCATCGTAATTTCAAAGCCCGATACAAGGTCTTTGAAAATAAACGTAATCTTTGCGTTTGTTGATTTATAAAGTTATATTGCATAAAATATTTAAACAAATGCATTTAAAAATAAACTATAATTTTTTATTGAATTATATTAATATCTATAATTATCCTTAGATTTTATTTTGAAGTCAAATGCAGAAAGTAACATACGTTAATTTTACTGTTTACTTGACGTTTCTTCAGACATCACAAGCTCGAACGGTGTTTATCCAACTCTCGTGTCTTTTTAGCGCAATAACTACTAATCCATCTATTTATACCTTTGTCGGTGTTTGCAGGTGAGTTTAAACATTTTGTATTTCGTAATAAGATACGATATGACGCACTTTAGCCCATTTTCAGACACTTCTACCCCGTGATGACTTTCTGATTTTAACTTTCGAATTTTACGGTGAGTCCTAGGCAGGTCCAAGAGGGCACCAAAGTGAAAGTGAAATTGGACTTTGTATTTAGAGTGTTATTTTAAATGTACAGCTTTATTTTACAAATTAATTTAAATGGGGTATGTTATGACTCATGTAGGTGTGCCGCACTTTGTTTACATTCTGCTGACATAATGCAAAGAGCTATATATTAATTATGGCGTAGATACATTGAGAAAAAGCTATGTATTTTTAGTATGATGTTCTGAAATGTTGCTAGATGTAGGTATTTGTTATCTTGTTTAGCCATGTAAAAACAAACTGGAAGAGCAACATTCTACTTTACATCTTAACATGTTTTTACCTGATTAAATTGTGAATTACAGTGACAACCTTTTAACCATTTCCAAGTCATAATTGTCTTTGAAGTATTTACTGGATGTTGTTGTATTAGCACTATTAGGAACAGAATAAGAGAAATACTCAGTGTAGCTAAATACGACCATCCTGTTTCTTTAAGTTAAGACTGGGAAAGTCCAGAGTGTGGCAGTTGTTTTGTCTTGGTATCTGAATATATTTGTCATGTGATTTACTGACAAGATAATTCAGTTTACTGCCTCTGTGAGTCTTTTTTGCTGTGCATAGTGAAACCCTGAGTCATGCTGTTCTCAATATAACTTGTTTCTTGTGGACACAGGAAGTCCAGACAGAAAAGTTAAGGGATTATATTTAAGGCTGTACAATTAATCATGTTCATATTTTAATTGAACTGAAATTGAGAATTGATCATCTGAAGGCTTTTTAATCTAAAGTAATCCTCAGTGAAAGCAGTTTGGAGTAGTGTTCATAAACAAATTGGGAAAAAAATGTCTTAAATTGTGTTAAATAGAACTGTTTAAAAGTTGATATGTTATTTCAAATCTGTCAATACAAGGAAAAATGTGAATTATTTTGCTATTGTGTGCAGCCCTACTCTACATTAAATTGGATGGAGAGTATAAACAAAGGTGTAGGCATGTTATAAATGTGAAAAATGACCCAAGAGCAACAGATTGCAGACCCTTGTTCTGGTCTATAATTTAAAGAATAAACTGTTCTTTTTTTATTATTATTATTATTCTAATTTCATTTTTCAAATAAGACATTGCTTGTGTTTGTGCCTTACTTGGTCTGTTTCTGTTTTGATTTATCATCAGCAGAATGGCATCAGGAGGTCCAGTGATGAACGGAGACATATCTCGCTCCCCCAGTCAGACAGGAGCTCTGGAGGACACACTGAAGCAGATGAACATCCTCATACAAGAGAACAGAGATCTGAAAGGTACATACAGCACACCACAAATTGGTCGGTGTGGCGATAATTACTTAACGTATTGTTTTTTGTTTTTTTTACAATAGTGGGGAGATTTTTGTTATTTTTGTTGTCATGCAATAAGATTTGGGCTGCAGAGGATTGAAAAAGTAACTGTGGGTAATTACTGCATCATTTTGCTATTTATTTGTTGCAGCTCATGCCACTTCATGATACTGTCTAATGGTTTACTGGGATTATTTTGCATTATCGTTTTTGTATCAGTGGCACAAAGTAGTTTGAGTAGTATCATTTATCACAGTATGTCTTTTTAGCAATATAGCCTGCTTCAGATATTGTTATTGTGACAAGTCTAACCACAAAGACTAAATTATGAAATTGTTTCAACAGTTTCTTCCTTGAATGGATTGTGTAAATGTAAAACTACCTTTCATGACACTTGTGTTTTAAAATTTGTTAATCCCTGTTGTACACCATAAGTACAAACATGATTAGATTTTAACATGGTTTAGTGCTTCCTCAATTGTGAGTTTTGTGAGTTGTGTATTAACTGCCTATATAATGACATGCTTTGTGTATGATTTATTTGTTTATTTTTAAATGTATTTTTAAACTTCTTAAACTTGCTGTGGAAATGATGTAATATTACACTATCAAATCATTGAGATGCAAAAAAAGATAACAACTAAATTAGAATATTATTAAGTATATTTTACAGTGAAATATAATTATTAATGTTTGACATTTGAATTCGCTGTATACTTTCATATAAATACTTTTTCACTGTGCTTTACAGAGGCTTTACATAAGGCCAATATATCGATGAAGGAACGTTTCGAGGGTCTTGCTGCTTGGAAAGAAAAACAGAAAGAAGAGAAGGGCTTTCTGGAGTCCAAACTGAGTGAGGCCAAAATCCGGGTTGAAAGTTTAATGGTGGAAAACCAGGATCTCAGAAAGAAACTGGCAACTCAAGGGGGAGACACACAGGTAAGGGCAATCAGATGTAGCAATCAGTCTGGGAATTAGTATGGAAGATCAAGTCCTAGACATTGTTGTTAGCATTAATAAATTGTAGATTCTAGATAAATTTTTCTTAGTTAGATTATATATGTGGGGACTGGAGATGTATTAGCTCCAATATCCATATTATTGGATATCTGGCTTCCCAGATATTTGTATCCTATATTGAAAATTTATCCAATATTTGGCAGTAATAGTTGTCTTTTTAGCAGTATTAAGTGTGAAAATGGAACTCAAAATGGAAAGGCAAAGGTTATGCAACAAATTATATTTTATTCTGAGTACATTTTTTAACTTAATATATGTAAAATATGGTAATTTAATATCACTTAACATACATTCCTTGCTATGCATTTTAAAATCAGTTATTGACTATTTGCCACAGCAGCAAGACAAATATATGAGATCTATATGGGTTAAAAAATAATCCATATCAGACCCTCCTTTATCATATGTTTAATTAATTATATATTATATGTTGTTGATTAGTTTGTCCAGGGTTCAGAGGTAGAGGCCCTCCGTGCGCAGGTGGCTCGTCTGCAGGCGGAGAAGAACGATCTGGTGGCTCTGAACTCGGAGCTGCAGCTGAAGGCCGACCACAGCTCCAATGATGACTCTTTCATTGAGATCATCAAAGTCACTGTGAGACTCTGTTCTACTATTACAACTAACAATGAAAACTATTGAAAATGTATTAGTGAGAAACTACAAGTTATATGCAGATAACATATTTGAATCATTTTTTTAATACAATATTTTGGTGTATACATGTCACTTATTGCCTCTACTGAACAGATTAAATAATTACTTTGGTATGTTTATGATAAGACTACAAGAATAATATATCATTTGTTTTAGCACTTTTTGCTCAACTAGTCTTTAAACTATGAGGGAGAAAATTTTACTATGGGGGGCCACCATAGTCTCCTCTATTAATGGCAAACACTGAATATGTCATCTGACCCTAATGTGACAATCTGACCATTTGGCCAACTGGCTTTAACAATACATACTGGACATTGTGGTCTTGGCTAAAAATTGCAATATGATATTTTTGCCATATTGCCCACCCATATAATGTATTTTGTGGACTTTATATGCTGTGTTCACAGGATGGTGGAGCAAATGGGGTGAGTGATGCTTGTGGGACAGAGCACGTGAAGGGGCTGGGCGGTCCGTCTCTGAATCTGAGCATGAGCGGTTCCAGACTGGACAGTGAGGAGGTGACTGTGAGCCAGCTTCTGCAGTCTCTGAGGGATGAGACACAGAGAGCAGAGAGGCTACAAGAGGAGCTGCTGCAGGCAAAGCTCAAGTACGACTATTGTATAAATATGTGAAAACTTCAATAGTAAAAACGGATAGCTCAGTTTTGAAATATTACCAGAAGGTTTTAATTTTCTTTTTGTTACCATTCTACAGATATTATCAATAACAATAATGTATGGAGGATTTTATAAAGAAGGGATGGAATCATATTTTTATTGCACTAAAATACATGGATTTTGAAAATATTACTAAGATAAGCCTCTGATAACACTTATCTGTTTCTGCAAATTAACTATTTCTTTTAAAGCATAAGTAAATCTAGAGTTTGTATTTCCCCTACTACCAAAAATATGTAAATCAGACCAGTGTTCCCCTAGTGGAACCACAAGCACTTCACCAGAGTATAAATTGAATGAGCAATTTCAGATTTGAAAAGTTGGTTGAATTTAATGGTATTGGACTGTACAGTTGTATTTTTAGTACATTTTAAAATAGTTTTATTTTCTTCAACACAATTAATGATAATGGTTATAAGTGATAATATACAAGTAAATGGGTTTTTCCCTATGTAACAAGTCGCAAATATAGTTTGTCTTTTCGTAAGTCTTCACAAGTCAGTGCGAGACACAGCGATACTTGTGATAAAAAGGGAATTACTGTTACATTGTACCCTCTGGGGCTTGTTTTCCACTACAAAAGTAATTATGAAATCTGAAAGTGGGACTTACCCTGTTAAATAAAGACCTGTTGATGTTTTATGATGCACCATGATACTGAAACAAGTTCCTAGTTTGTGAATTTTGTCTGTCAGTGGTAATAAAATGTTTGATTCTGATAATCATATCAATTACTTTTATACAATTTGGTTCTTTTGGCCCGGGACATTACATTTTTATTATTCACTGTACAGAGAGAGTGAAGTAGATGATGTAGCTTTTCTGTAAAGAACATTGTTTTTTTTTTTTTACAGTTACAGTAAACTCTACAGCACACTGAAAGAGCTGGAGAACAAGAAGAGTGAGGAGCAGTCCACACAGACCACTGAGCCAGAAGAGACCAAGCAGCAGGCCGCCAAGGTATTATCCAAAAAAACTAGTTCTGCTATTATTACACTTCCACAGTGTAATTGCATTCAAGTGTGTATATTTTTTATATTGTAACATGATTAGTTAATTGGCAAGTATAACATTTATACATACACAAAATGTTAAGAAAATCTGGTTAATTTTCTTTCTCTTTTCAAAGTTTTTATTCACTGTCAAAATGTATCACAATGTATCACTTGTAAATATCTGTGGTAACTAAGGCTTCTGGTTCTTACATCGATTTATTGTTTGTGTCTTTAGGCAGCGTCTGAGGTAGAGAACCTAAAGTCTCAGGTGATGACTCTGTACAAAGACCTGCAGCAGGCACAGAGTAAACTGGACGAAGCCGAGGGCATGAAGAAGAACCTCACTGACAGGTACGAGATCCGGTGTCTTTACATGTGATTATGTGATGTGATATGGATTACCACTCCTTGAAACTGTTTATCAACTAAATACAGTTATTTGTGCTACATTATTGTGATGAGAATTCCACATTTTTACCCCTCTCTTCTGTGCAGATGTCGTGAGGTGGAGCAGGATGTGGCCACTCTAAAAGCTCAGTTAGTGGACAGACAAACAGTCCAATCTGAAAATGACCGTCTGAAGCTGCAGCTGGACAGTATGCAAGCACAGAGCCTGGTGGAGCAGAGGAAGGCAGGAGAGGAGAGGTCAGTTACGTAATGCAACTCTCTCTATATATGTATGATGCCATTGCAAATATTATCTTGTACTTCTTGTCTTCTTCTTTATGTAATTATAATAACTGTGTTAATACAAATAAAATACAGCTTTCAATTTTTCCAGGAGTAATTTGGCCCAGTTGAAGGAAGCGTACACAAAGTTGTTTGAGGATTACAATGAGATGAAGGAGGAGAGGAAAAAGCGAGAGGTAAATATCAACTTCATGTTGCTTTTGTTGTAATTTAGTTATATAGACCTGAAATGGTGAATTGGTTTATTGTCATATGACCTTAATAATGAGTTTACAACCTTCGTTTATTAGAAAGCAAAACATCAAAATGGCGAGGCAAGACAAGTTTATTTGTATAGCACAATTCATAGTCAAGTTATTCAGTGCTTTACAGTCAAGTCAAGTCAATTCATTTTATTTATATAGCACATTTAAAAACAATCATAACAAGTTGCACCAAAGTGTTTTGCATCATGAAACACAACATAGTGAAGCAATAGCACAAATATAAAATATAGAAAATATTTCATAAAAGACTTACTTAATACACAAAAATAATACAGAATACGAAAATCATTAAAATCACAATACAAACAAATCAAAACATATAATCATCATAAAATTAACATTAAAAGAAAATTGTGCAGAATAAAGGGTTGTGAGACCTGTGAGAAAAAGACCTTTCAGTCATATGCACATCTTAACAGAACTGTTTTGAGGCTGGATTTAAACATTATCAGAGCAGAGGCCTGTCTCATATGTATAGGAAGGTTCCAGAGTTTAGCTGCGTAAAACAAACGATTCCCCATGTTTAACCCTGACTCTGGGCAGAGTGCGTCCTTTGTCCTCAAATGACGGCGATGAGAAAACAAAAACCAAATGAACACCAGAATTGTACAGCTGTTCATAAGATTCTGATTTGTTTTGTTAAGACCTCTGTTGACCAGTGTTGACTATTTTGTATAGATCTTGTCATACTGTGTGTTAAAACGTTTATATCCATTGACAAGAATTATATCTGCATAAAATTGTGTTTGTCCCTAGTCCCAGTTGGTGCAGAGGGAAGTGGTGATGGATCTTGAGGAGAGATTGGGAGCTGCTGAAAAGGCCTTGGTTGCAAAACAAGAACAAATTGATGAAATGAAACGGGAACTCTTTGAGAAAGAGAAAGAGCTGGAGACTATCAATCTGTTCAAGCTTCAGGTTTGTGTAAAATTAGATCCATTATAATAATTACACTTACCAACTTATTAACATTTATAGCTAAAATGTCCAATGAATTCAATGATAAAATCCTTAAAATCGGCCTAATGAACATTCCCATATGGCCTATTGCTTCCTTCCAGTAGTGTCATTAGCATCACATAAGATGCCTATTTAACCTCCCCAGACAGAAATTACAACAGTCCCACACACCAGCTAGCGACAAATCCATATAATACTACCAGAATGCAAAAGTAACAACTACCAATTTGTCTCTAACAGCTTCTATATTTCTCCTTATGTGATGTGTTCAGGCTGAGGTGTACTCATCAGACTTCCATGCAGAGCGCGCAGCCAGAGAAAAGATCCACGAGGAGAAGGAGCGCCTGGCTGCTCAGCTGGAGTTTGTGAAAATGCAAAACACTCAGCTTCAAGAGGAGATGGATTCACTGGGACGGTAAGTATGCCTCTATTCTTTGTCAGTATTGTTAAAAAAAAAAAAAAAAAAAGTATGTTTATTTTGAAATGTTACGCTGTTTGTATTTCTGTTTGTAGACATTCACTAAATGAGATGCAGAGGAGACACACAAATCAACCCTCGTTAGTTGGAAGAGGTTTGTACTATAACTAAGTTTTGTTCTGTAAATATGCCACATTTACACAAACCTAGATAAAACACACACTTGAAAATTTTAAGAAACATGTCTATTACTTCCTGTTCAAAACTGCAGAACTGAACTGAAATATATGCTGTTGGCCCCGCCTCCTCATTGTAGATACATACAGTACTCTTGCTTTAGCAAAATTACTATGTGATGTTTTCTAACCCTATTTTTTTAAAGGTTAAGTACAGGGCTGTGGGCAAGAACAGGAAGTGGTAGCAAACTAAAATCTTCTGAACACTCAAACTTCAAATACAGAACAATTTAGGATTAATCAAACATGAATCACTCAAAATAAGCTTATGACAAGAAACCATTATGGTATGGTGGATTATCACCTTGTTGCAAAGAATTGACTTACTATAAATCAACTCAAATACAACACTGCTTTTTTAGGAGCAGAGTGGCAGCAGGGCAACATCCCAGAACACGCTTGTCCCAAATGTAACGAGATCTTACCTGACCTGGACTCTCTTCAGATTCACATCATGGACTGCATCAATTGAACTCAGCCAAGACTCAAACCTTTGCACCTTATTCTTCAGTCTTCCTCTGCTTCGTCCTGTACCTCCTTTTACCGACTGTTGTGGCAGCCCTTCATATCTTTACAGGATCAGAAACGCTGCAAAAATAAATACAGAGTAAAAACTATATTTAATTATAATTATATTAGTATGTAATGTATCAGCTGTATTGTTGTTCTGTAGGAACATGTTTTATATATAAAAGTGGTGATAGAAAAATTACAAATCATTCTTTTACAAGTCATGTAATTGTTTTAACAATCAAGTTATATGTTTGGTATTTGTGTGGTTTTGATCTTACTGCCAAAGAAGCCAACTGCAGATGTGTATGAGAAGTCTTTAATACACAATGAAATCATACTGAAATTGCTGTCTACCTTACTTTACATTACTAACAAAGCTAGTGTGTAAAACTAGTTCAGCTTTAATTATATCAGTTTGATGTTATATTGCAGGAAGTACATTGAAATACAGGTGAAAGAAGGTTTATGCATTATTATAGAAGCACTTTAAAGACAATAGTTTTATTTTCAACCTTGAGTATTTTGTGTAATGTAGTAAAGTTTATTTTCTAGGTTTTGAAACAACCATCTATGGATGAACCATCGCTGATTTACTCTCATCAGTATAACTGTTTGAAATTACTTTTTCTGTTCTGTTGATGAGAAAAATAAATGTAGGTATTTCTGAATGATTACATTGAATGTTTATTTTACAAAGATGTATTTCGATATTACTTATGTTATTACACGTCTCTGTCATTATAGGCAGTGCTATTTGCATTCATTATTCAGACAATGGAACTCTACAACACACATAATGTCACAATACAGTAAAATGATCTGAAGGATTGGTCCATAGCTTAGTGCAGGGGTCTCAGACTCGCGGCCCGGGGGCCAACTGCGGCCCGCGGAAGGATTTTTTGCGGCCCTCCACTTGATTCCAAAGAATAATGTCAGTGCGGCCCGCGGTAGATGTACGCACAATCCCACCCCCCTACCGCGGGCCGCACTGACAGATGAAGCTGCAATCGGTGCCCATGCAGATTCACAACAGATTATTAACGCAGTTTACATCCCAAAACTCAATTTACAGCAGTTGTGAAGCAACGAGTCTAAGTGGATCTGTTAATACAAGTACACGTGCACATACGGCGTCACCGAAGAACCAAAACAAACCACACATGGTGGTACACGTGTGCGCACTTCACTTTACGCTCCCACAACCACAGCATCAGAGCGCAGAGGAGGCGCTGACACAATTCCCCTGTTCATAAGTATGGGACCTTTATTGGAGGGGCTAATAAGAAATAAAAATACATTGACAGTCTGTTTACCTGTTCAACACTCGGTGCGTAACTTGCTGGCAACCCGATGACCAAGCTCCACCTGTGCGTCGCCGAAATCCACGCGCACTCAGCGGTAAACACAGCTGTCCCATCAATATGCAAGCACCACAAAACTGCAGTGATCTATTCCAGAGGCTTGGCGACATGTTAGCAAAAAGTACGAGGCAAAAACAAGCGTCTTCCATCCATGTTTGACATACGAGAAGCAGATACACTCCAGTGTGGTCCGCTTTCACACCGGCAAACGAACCAAAACTGGTCCGATTAACGAGCCTCTGTATCCCGGTAGAACAGCGATATCTCCAGTAACCAATACTGATGTTCCCTGTTAATACCGCGGGCGTCCTCATCATCAAATATCACTCACGAACTAGAACATCTAAAACACAGCAACGTAGAACTTTCTACAAACTCACCGCATCAGTTCTGAGTTCGGGTAACAGCAGAAGCCAACAGCGTTCAGCGTAGCGCGCAGCTCCTCAGGACGGCGCTGGAGTCTGGTCCTTGGTCTTCTGTCGTCCTACAAGCGCGTTGGTCAGATGGTCCGGAGGCTCTGTCCTCCATGTGCTGGTTCCAGACGGTGGCGAACAAGACCAGTGCGCAATGACTGGGTCTGAGCGGGTAAGTTCCGCCGTCTGCGCGCTGGTTCCCTGTTCCGTGCGGGGAAAGTGAGAATGCGCTGTGTACTACCTACAGGTCTGTGCTGCTCCTGTCCTCCGCGCTCAAGAACCGCGGCTGGTTCCGAGGTGGTGCAAAGCATCCGGACAGAACGTGAATCCAGTTTAGTTGGTGTCTGCATTTGGTTCTTCCCGGGAAAAGCGCTTTTCACTCCCCGCTCCACGTCATCTGAGCCCGGACAGAACCGGAGCTGCTCCCGCTGGTTCGGGACTCCGGTTTGGATCTAGTCCGACTGTATTTCTCACACTAGGCTAAAAGCAGGACATTTTTAAAGGTGAATCAGTTGAATGGGCGATTGCCTATTGCCATAAAATTATTTGATTAATTAAAGCCTAAAATAATAAATGCTAGTTCCTACATGATCACGGGGAACAAAGGGACCTCTGCAGGTCCTGAACAGAAGTACACACCCCCATTTTTGACTCACTCTGGAGCCACACGTTCGCACGTTCTTGCTCTGATCTTCGTGTATTACATTCTCTGTATTGGCCATTGTTGGTAAAATATTTCGAAAATGAATCGCGGCTGCGTCTGGACAATCTGTTACTGCGCTGGAGTCGTACAGCGCGTCATTACAGGCAGGAGACGCGTTTCTCCCATGATGCATCTAGAATAGTTCGTTTGGACCTGCTGTCTGTGGTTTGGACCCGGGTTCGCGTTCACACCAGAAGAACCGCACCAAAGTTGGTCATTTGGTGCGGATTCAAGCGAACCGAGACCACCTCTTTTTTGAGGTCTCGGCCCACTTGAGTTGGTCCGGGTCAGAGTCCGATTGACGCTTTCACACCAACGCAAACGAACCGAGCTAACCACTTCTGGTTCGAATGGATCGTTTGGTGCGCACCAAATACTGTCGGTGTGAAAGCACCTAATACAGGTCAAGGCTCACTGATGAGCATCTTCAATCTATCCTGAGGATCTGCTTCCTCCTACAAGCCAAATATCTCTCAGCTGTACAAGATGAATCGTAGCCAGGTTTCAACCAGCAAGGAGTAGGCAAAAGAAGAAGAGTAGACGTATTAGTTTAAACTTACGTTCTGAATACATTTTCATGTTCTGAACTGTTATTAAAGATTAAGAAAGTGTGTTGCGTGTTCTTTCTCTCTCCTCTTTTCCCGTGCAACCGCTATTTATCGAATACTCAATGCGGCCCAGCCTCACTCAGACTTTATCTAATGTGGCCCCCAGGTAATTTGAGTTTGAGACCCCTGGCTTAGATTCATGAATTAATGTGTATCTGCAAGATCAAATTCAGGGCCTCAAAATGAAGTTGCACTAGTTGCCTAGTGTCTAATACAGTTGCCTAGTCAGTGCATTTAGCTTATTTATGTTTTCTTGTATTATTTCACTATGCACATACCTTGAAAACAAGTTCTGTCTAATGTGCCGTAGAAATAAAATCGCATTGGATTTTCTTTTTCTTCAGGCAGAGCGCTGGCCACCTCGCTGTAAAGTGACAACACAGCGGGGTCCTTCATTTAGCGCCAGTTTGGATTCCTCTGTTTTCTCTCCACTCCAATTTTCTCCCAGTTTTAGCTCGGATTTTAAAGTATGATTTAAACTTCTAGAACGTGATTTATAAGAATTAGCACTGACATTACAATAAGTGGACGACCAAGTTTACGCGGCTGTCAGAACTGTAAATGCTGATCGGGTTTGTGGTGAGTTCTTGCTTCTTTGCTTACCTTTACCGCTGTTACATGTCGTGAAATACAAAGTTAACATCCTGCATTGCTACATATCTCCATCTAAACTCTAATCATACTAAACGTGTTTTTGAAATTGTCACTTTGTGTTGTGTGCGTAACTTAAACTTTTTATGTATGCATTGTGAATGAGATTTTTATTGTATCATTTGAATAATTCTTTTATAGATGTAGAGTAGACGGTGTTGCATTTCACAGTACGCTATTAAAATGATTCACTGTAATTTCCTTATGTACTAAAAATGTACTCTTCAAGAATGTTCTTACTCAGTAGCACTTGCTCTGCTGCTTTCTTCTATTTACTTTTTGTCAGTTTGTCAATTTGAGCCTTGTGGCTTTTGCCCATGGTAGTATCAGTCTGTTCCCCCCAAAACTATGAACATAAACAAATCATAATTGTCTGTTTTTCTTGTAGGTTTATTGACAACATCCTTTTATTTCAAAAGAATGGATGGTGAGTTTTTTAATCACACAAAGATAATTCAAGAACTCAAGTGGTTATAGTATATTAATAACTTCTTTTTTTTTTTTTTTTTTTTTTTTTTTTTTAACAGGTGAAGATGATCTGGACATTTTGACAGCTCTTTTGGATGAGAGTGAAGGAGTGGAGCAGCAGCAGAACCAGGCAGATGATTTGGATGATCTTTTTGATGAGGAAAACGATGGAGAGGAATACAAAGATGGAGCCGAGGAGACAGAGGACCAACTGTCTGAGCTGTTTGGAGATGTAGAGGACATCGAGAAGGAGGAGAAAAGCAAAGAAGAGGTCTTAGAGAGTCTCAACAGGTCCAAAGAGGATTTACAAGGTTTGTAATGTAGCGTCTGTTAATAGTTGTGAAAAGAGTCTTATATTTTGGTGCATTGATTAAGACAATAAAACTACGCTGTTTTTTTCTGGGCCATGTGCTTGATCTTTTTTGTTTTTGAATCAGATGAGTTGAAGAGGATGCAAGAACAGATGAAGAAATTACAGCAACAACTTGAAATGAGCCAGAGCAGTTCTTCCAAATCTCCTGCTTCCCCTAAACCTCCAACACAACAGAAAACCTCAAAACCAAACTTGCCTAAACCTGCTCCTCCACAGAAGGTCAAATCACCAAGGGGTAAAAATACACATGTTTTAGCTTTGTTTTTTATATCTTATACTGTGCATTGTGAAAATTATTTCAATTTTTTTTTATAGAGACCATCTCCACTCCACTAAGGAAAGTCCATGAGTCCTCAGACTTCTCTGCACAGCTCAGTAATGCAGACTCCTTCATAAAGAAACCAAGAGTTGCGCACCAACCCAAAGCCAGCACACCTCCAGGTAAACATACTGACTGTTAAATCACTATAGCCATGTTTCCACTGATTTGGAATGGGCTTGTGTGGTATGGTATATGACACCTCAAAAGTGTATTATTAACTAGAGAAAAATGGAGAATAATACATAATACATAGCACAAGCAGCCAGATTGATTTCACATTCTTTCATTGGAAAATTCTCTGATGACACGCTTATGGTCTAATCAAAACAAAAAAAATTTTAATTATGTTGTTTTTTTCAGAGAGCAGAGGTCCGCTGATGGAGATAAAGTTGGGCAGTTCGTTTCAACCTGTGGAGACACTAGCCACCAATCCTCTGCGCTCTCCTTCTTTCAACAGCAGACCTGGGTCTAGACCTGTGTCTGGATCAGGATCTGGAGCAGGGACTTCGGGGGGAACGATCAGACCTTCTGCTCTCCCACCTCTGCCCAAAGATGTGGCAGTTGAGAAATACTCTGGCCTCAGACTAAGGTGGGAAAGTCACCCTAAACCTGAAATATCTAGAACGCCTTGTCATGTCACCAGAGATTTGCTATTACTTCCTATCAAATTTTTTACAATTACAGTAAAAATAATTTTTTGTTTTCTCAATCGGAGGATATGATGATGTAGAATAATGTGTATCTAGATTAACTTAAAAAAAAGTGAATTGCTGAATTAAATTTAAAAAAGAAAAAACATTTTCCAATCATATGGCTATAAATAAAGAAAAGGTAATAGCTGAGGTAATAACTGGTAATTTTTGTGTAATGACTTTCAGTTTATTACAAAGTCTTATTTTCTTATCCTTGGCAGAAAACCGCGTGTGTCCTCCACTGACATGGAACGTAAAATGGCCGACAGGCGCTTAATCCGTTTGTCTTCGGTCCCAGAGCGTTTGACCCGAGAGAAACTTGAGGAGAGCGACTGGGTCACATTTGCTGTAGTGGTCAGTAAGGCCACACCACAGAGCAGCAACAGTGTGAGTGTGTTTAGAACAAAGGAAAAAAACATAAACCATATTTCAACTTATATTTATGTTTTAAATTTTGAGTTTTAGGAGTTTTTATTTCTAATCCCTAAAATAACTAATCTTTATTTAACCAGATTATAAACCGACACAGATGATATTTCTGTTGCAGAACTGAAAGGAATCAGTTCTTATTGTCTTAATAATGACATCAATAACTCTAAACAGCTAAACAGCTCTAATGTTTGACTTGTTTCTCTTTAGGGTAAGACCTTCAGTATCTGGAAGCTTAATGACCTTCACAACTTGGAGGTGTTTGTGTCTCTGCTGTTATTCGGGGAAGTCCATAAAGAACACTGGAAAACTGAACCAGGGACTGTGATCGGCCTCCTCAACCCCAACCCCATGAAACAGAAGGATGGATACGATGGGGTACTATAGATTATACGACTTTCTACAATTTAAAAGATAGTATTTTAAAGATATCTTTATTAAATATTAAGGTATTTTAAATTATAGTATGTTGAATATTTTCATTCAATGTAAGATTGCACAGTTATGAGTCTAACTATGAAATCTTACTTTGAATGACACTGGAGACAGTAAGAACCCACTGAAGTTAGCTGGTATGAAACCCTAATCAGCATCTGTACTACTTCGCCACCATGCTGTCTATTTAATTTCCATTTTTCTATCTATCTATCGATAGATAGATAGATGGGGTGTGTGTGTGTATATATATATATATATATATATATATATATATATATATATATATATATATATATATATATATATATATATATATATATATATATATATATATATATATATATATATATATGGTTTGGTTGTATATTAATTCCTTGCCTCTGTAGGTGAGTCTGACAGTGGACCACCCACAGAAGGTGCTGTTGATGGGTGAAGCCCAGGACTTTGGGACATGTAAAGGAGTGAAGAAGAATGGAGAACCCTGCTCACAGATTGTCAATATAGTATGTCCTGATTTCTAATTTTAAAGTTACAACTTTTAAGGTTTTGTAAAATTAATGATTTTCTTTTATATTTGCCAAAACCTTGCACAATAATCAAGTTGCTTATCTATTGTCCATTTATTTTCTTAAGTATTTGAAGTTGGTTTATTGTTTCAACCCTGATGGAATATTTACATATTCAAAGTTTGGACTAGAAAAATATTTTGACTGACATTTTTACTTGGATTCGACTTTGTAATATATATATATATGCATTGTATATGTTCTGTTCAGTATGAGTGCCAGTTTTGCCAGTATCACGTCAAAGCCCAATATAAGAAGATGAGTTCAAAGAGAGCCGAGTTGCAATCATCATATTCTGGAAAAGCTCCAAACAAATTCAAGGGAAAAGGATCAAATCTGAGAGAGAAACTGTGTCAGGACGGGTTTTATTATGGAGGAGTGTCTTCTGCTGCCTGCGCTGCCTCAATGTGAGTCTTCAGAGGTGATTTTAGATTATTTTAGGGAAGTTTTATACTTTACATGAGTTTTATATTACATGATATATATGCTTGGACAATAATCATGTATATATTTTACACAATCTGTATCTTGTAATATGCAGTCTGTAAATTGGCATTTGTGATTTCAGTGGAGCATCCAAACCAAACAAACCTGGACAGAAAACTCTGGACAAACTCTTTGTGAAAGGATCCGCTCAACATGTGGCTCAAGCTAAAAGACTGGGTAGGCTTTACACAACAAAGTATTACACCATTTAAATTATTTAATGAGAAAAAATTTTTATCCCTGTACTGCACTATGCATAGAGCTAACCTACTCTGTATTTTTTAGCTATGCAATCTGGGAATGTGTCCGGCTGCTCTGATGAGTTCAAGAGTCTCATGTCTGCGCCGACTCCTGGAGCTCTGCAGCTGAAGAAACATTTAACTCAAAACCAAACAGGTACTTTACACTGTTCAACAGTATGTACATTATACATGATTATGTACAGTTACTGAAACGCTGACTCCCCTTGTTTAGTCCTGACTCTGGGCACCAGCAGGGGGCCGGTCCCTGAGGTCCTCAGAGTGCGAGATGGTTCATATGACACTAACATGTCACAGATGTACTTTGGTGCTCGGCCATGGAGAGACTTGTACACAAGCAGAGCTGCTTTAAAGTCTATTCTCTGAGGCACAGGAAGCCAGTGCAGAGACCTGAGCACAGGACTTATGTGCTCGTACTTCCTAGTTCGAGTAAGGACCCGAGCTGCAGCATTCTGGATGTTCTGCAGCTGTCTCACAGCTCGTTTGGAGAGACCAGTGAGCAGACCATTACAGTAGTCTAACCTACTGGAGACAAACGCATGGATACGTTTCTCCAAGTCTGCTTTAGACAGTAAACCTTTGATTTTTGCTATGTTTTTTAGATGGTAAAAGGCTGCAGATGTTATTGATTTGATGTGGCTGTTAAAGTTCAAGTCTGAGTCCATTATTACCCCTAGATTCCTTGCCTGATTTGAAGGTTTTAGAGAGAGAGACTGGAGGTGACTGCTGACACTGTCCCTTTGTTTCTGTGGACCAAACACTATGACTTCAGTCTTGTCAGAGTTTAGCTGGAGAAAGTTGTTTTGCATCCACACACTGATCTGTTGGATGCAGTGGCAGAGTGAGTCCACTGGTCCATAGTCTCCTGCTGCCAGAGAGACGTAGATCTGAGTGTCATCTGCATAATTGTGGTAGGACACATTATTGCTGCTTATTAACTGGCACCCCACAGCTCAGGGCCATGTGATCTGAGACACAGTTTCCAATTTCAACAAAATACTTCCTATCTTCTAGATAGGACTTGAACCAGTTTAGTACAGTACCAGAGATGCCCACCCAGTCCTCTAGTCTCTGTAAGAGGATCCCATGATCGACAGTGTCAAAAGCAGCACTCAGATCTAACAGGATCAAGACTGAGACTTTGCCTGCATCAGTGTTCAGGCGGATGTCATTTGTCACCTTGATAAGAGCAGTCTCAGTGCTGTGGTGGGCTCTAAAACCTGACTGGAAAACATCAAAGGAGTTGTTCATTTGGAGAAAGTTCATAAGCTGTTGGTAAACAGCTTTTTCAAGGACTTTGCCAAAAACGGCAGATTTGAGATGGGTTGGAAATTGTTCAGTACTGTGGCATCAAGACTGCTGTTCTTTAGGAGAGGCTTAATGACCGCAGTTTTCAACGCGTTTGGGAATGTTCCAGATTGAAGTGACATGTTAACTATGTGAGTGAGTGGTGAAAGTAAACTGTTGAGGACGGACTTTAGAAATCTAGTGGGTAACATGTCTAGGCAGCAAGTAGATGAACTCAGACTGGTAATGTTGTACCCGTGTAGTAGGGGTATGTTGTGTTGTGCTGAAAACAAAAGAACCACTTGAGTGATTTCTCACTGCTTCCTTCATGCACAAGTTTAATGCAATGAAATATAATAATCATCAAGAACAGTATTTTACATGTGGCTCATAAGCCTGTGTGGACACAAGATGGCGGACACTAGCTCACAATGCAAAAAAACGTCTTATCATATTAATATAAAAACATAACAATCAAACTTTATACTAGCAACAAAACATTCTCCTATTTCAACAGATTCTCATTTTAACAATGTACATACAACAAAAATATTTGGCAAATCTCACCTGAAAACAAAAGAACCACTTGAGTGATTTCTCACTGCTTCCTTCATGCACAAGTTTAATGCAATGAAGAGAAGGAGCGCGAAATCTCCCAAGTGGCGCGCGAAGGCATTACCAATCACCAGATCAGCGAATCCCGATAACCGATATTATGGATGGTACTGAAAAATAAACTAAAATAAACGTTTTAATAAACTTTTAACTCTTTTTTAACTGTTTTTAAGGCTTATTTAAATGTATATTCATTAATATTTATTACCAACCTTTTTACTGTTTTTAACTTATTAACATGAAATCTCATGAACGTATCACTGCCACTGAGCACAAAGCATAACATTAGGGGCATATAGCACCATTCTAACCTATCACAGTAACGATCTCTAAAACAGTTTTGTCAGTTACAGGTGCAAAGTGATTCAGCTCTAAGTGTCTCTGTGGCTGCATGCTTGTTATTTGTGTTGTGGAATTGATGGAATTTTTGATGCCCTGAACTTTGTCATTAAAGAAAACTGCAAACTCATTACATTTAGATGTGGAAATTAGTTCTAGTGGCAGTGGAGCTGGAGGGTTTGTTAATCTGTTCACTGTTGCAAACAGGACACAAGAGTTGTTACTGCAATTACCAATAATGTCCGAAAAATACTTCTCTTTTGTTTTACTCAAAGTGTAGTTGTACATATGCATTGTTCCTCTGTAAATCTCATAATGAACCTGGAGGTTTGACTTGCTCCATTTCTGCTCAGCCTTCCGGCAGTCCCTTTTCTGTGCTCTGACTGAGTCATCATTCCTCCACGGAGCTTTTTGCCTGTCTTTAACCATTTTAACCTTTATCGGGGCGATGGCATCCAGAACATTCAAAACACTCAAAGTCACAGAGTTCAACACATCATCAACATTAGAACATGAGGCAATTTTAAAATTTATCATTTCCATGAACAGTGCACCTGTGTTATCATTTATGTGTCTTCTTCGAACAACTGTAGGAGCAGCCGGTGGTTTGGGAATAACAGACAGGTCAAAGAAGACACAGAAATGATCAGACAGAGCAACATCAACCATATTGACATTTGAAATATTTACACCCTTTGTAATGAGCAGGTCCAGAGTGTGCCCTCTGTTGTGAGTGGGCTCACTGACATGCTGAGTCAGACCAAAAGTTTCAAAGACAACACTAAGCTCTTTGGCATTTTTGTCACACACATTATCCACATGTACATTAAAATCACCTGTAATGACTAAACCATCAAAGTCTGTGCAAACAACTGAAAGCATCTCCGTAAAATCATCAATAAAACATTGACAGTGCTGAGGAGGTTTGTATATGACTATGTAGAGTATGGACGGTGATTGTTTTAGCTCCATTTTGAAGGAAACATACTCAAATGATGAAAACACCCCAAATGACAACCTGTGTGTAACCAAATAATCTCTAAAAAATGCACACACTCCTCCACTCTTTTTATTTGCTCGTGTTTCAAATTCAAATTTGAAATTGGGAGGGCTTGATTCCACTAGCACTGCATGACCTGTGTTTTTGTCAAGCCATGTTTCAGTTAAAAACATAAAGTCAAGATTAAAAGAAGAAATAAAATCATGAATTAGAAATGATTTGTTACATAAAGATCTGACAATGAGCACAGCAAGTTTCTGATTAGTTTCAGTAGGACTGGATGTTATCTTCTTACAGGGAATGTGAACTAAATTTCTCTGATTAGACAGTCTAACTGTCCTTCTTTTAATCCATCTATGAGTTGTAACTGGAGATATAGCTCCATCGCAGGGCCCTAGCCTGATATGACCTTTATCATGACTGTATGTCCTGGGACAGCAGAACCCTGTGCGTCCTAGCTGTTGGTGATAACAGCTCTGGGGAAAGGCGGGGGAGGGCGAGCAGGGGAGAGTTTGGGTGAGTGACCAGGTGAGGGACCACCTGAGGGCCGAGGAGGTGGAATACGGGGAGGTTTGGGTGAGGGACCAGGTAAGGACCGAGGAGGTGGAGTAGGGGGAGGTTTGGGTGAAAAATTAGAGGGGAGAGCTGAGAGAGTCTCTGGTGGTGAAACAGGCACAGTTTTGTATGGGGGAGAGTTCAACATAGTTGATGTCAGAACCCTTGACCGTGCTATGTTAGGTGTGAGAGGAACCATCTTGATTCCCGATCTGATGAGGCTTTCTAGATGGTTGGGCAGTGCCATGGGTGAAGGTGGGGAGGAGAAGGAGAGTGAAGAGTCCGTTGATGGAGTAGATGTAGCAAAGGGGACTCCAGGCTGGTCTGTGGGCAGCGGAGGTGATGGGTGTGCTGGTGGCGCTGGTGGCGCTGGGGGAGGTGGTGGTGGTGTTGCTGACTCATTCTCTGGGGGAGGTGGTGCTGCTGACTTGTTCTCTGGGGGAGGGGGAGGTGGTGATGCTGCTAACTTGTTCTCTGGGGGAGGGAGAGGTGGTTCTGCTAACTTGTTCTCTGGGGGAGGGGGAGGTGGTTCTGCTGACTTGTTCTTTGGGGGAGGTGGATCTGCTGACTTGTTCTCTGGGGGAGGGGGAGTTGGTTCTGCTGACTTGTTCTCTGGGGGAAGGGGAGGTGGTGATGCTGCTGAGTTGTTGTCTGGGGGAGGGGGAAGTGGTTGTGGTTGTGGCAGTGGTGGTGCTGTCAATGGTGCTGACTTGTTGGCTGGTTCTCTGTTAGGTGCAGCAGGGATGCTTCTCCCATTTCTCTTTTCTCTCACTGGATGCATAGGACCCTGTCCAGGCCGGTGCCTCAGAACGTGGAGGAGGTTTTCCGTCAACACTCTCACTCCACCTCTGCTTAGGTGTGGGCCATTTCCCTCAAACAGGTCCTTCCGTTTCCAAAAAACATCAAAGTTCTCAATGTAGTGCAATCCTCTGGCCGCACACACGTTCAGCAGCCATGTGTTCAGCTGAAACAGTCGGGTAAATTTGTTCCTGTTCCTTAGGTCTATGTTGGGAAGAGGTCCACTGATAAATGTCTTAACCTCCACTTTCTTAAGCTCCTCGAATAATTTAGTGAAATCCCTTTTCAAGACTTCACTCTGTTCCATTCTGATGTCCACTGCACCCACGTACACAATCAGCTGTTTAACCCCTTGGTGTGTTGACAAAACTTTTGGCAGGAGTTTTGTTATCTCAGAAACAGTGTAGGTCGGATAGCAGCATGTTAGGATTTCTCTGTGACTCACACCACTGATAGCCCCGTCTCTTAGCAGCAATGTATCTCTGACCTTGATGTTTGGCACAGATTCCCGGTATGCCTGCACTCTTTTGGCAACTTTATTGTTCTTGTTTTGTGATGACAGTACATTATCCATTTGTATGTTAACATCAGTCTGTGACAGTGGTGAAAATCTGTTTGTTAGCTTTATTGTGGGTGATATAACGATATTAGCATTGTCTTTTATCACTCGCTGCGCTGGCTTAGCATTTTGGTCTGTACCAAGTTTTGGAAAAGACACAGTATCACTCAGGTTTAAGTTGAAAGAATTTTCACCCTCTTCTCTGGAAGTAACTGTAGGTTGCTCACCACTGGAAATCACTGGTAGCGTCTGATGAAGTCCTTTTTCAGTTTCTAAAGCAAATATCCGTGCTTGTAGCTCATAAATTTCTTGTTGATAGTTCCGACAGCGCTCACAGATAGAATTCCCTTGGTTTCTTCTCCCCGACATGTTGCTGGCTCATCAGATGATTTGTTAAAAAAAAAATGTAAAAATGTTTAAAAGTATTAATTTACTTAAAAGAAAAATCAAAAATAGACACATTATCCATTGTTGGAGGAGGTAAACAGATTAAAAAGCAAAAACAGCAGGAGCAAGCAAGGATAGCGTCCGCAATCTTCAGAAGCAGGAAGTAAACACAAGTTAAGTTTAATGTATGTATATATATGTATATATGTATGTATATATATGTATGTATATATATATGTGTGTGTGTGTGTATATATATATATATATATCCTACAATTATAAGTGAAGCTGTGTTTTCTTACCATATTGTATGGTTCAAACATTTTAGAGTAATATAGATATAATGCCTGTTTTTACTGTCTAGCATTTGAGTGTTCTTCCTCACTTATCTTTAATTCCTCCACAGTTGTTAAAACCCCAGAGGGCGCTCCAGTCCAATCTATCTCAGCCTCGGACCTTTTAAAACAGCAGAAACAAAAGCAACGCGAGCTCCTCAACGCCCGCAGAGAACGAAACGTACTCCTGTCTCCAAAACCAGGGTCTGAAGTTCCCAAGTCTACCCAGAGTCCAGCCACCCCAGCCACTCCCTACACCCCCTCTGCTCCCTCTGCTCCTACTCTGGGACGGGGCTTCTCTGAAGGGGATGACATACTGTTTTTTGACAACAGTCCTCCTTCAGCACCTGCACAGACCTCCCTGAGTCTGTCTGCAGCTAAAATGGCCGCCCTGAAGAAGCTGAGGGCCAAAGGGATGGGACTAGAGAAGGAGGATCCAAACGCAGTGAAGAGGAAACGGAGCAACAGCAATGAGATCAGTTCAAGAGTGGAGAAGAACCGCATGTCACCCAAAAGTATTGTTTCAATTAGTCTTTTTTACTACTTATGTGTATTATGATGCACACATGCACCTCACTACTGCTGTTTTGGCTTTTCTTTGCTGTAACTGTTAAATGCTACATTTAGTCAGAAACATAGAAGACCAATAACAAAACATGTTGTGGAAAAAGAAGAGGACGTAGAGAATGTAATATTTATCACCAAGAGTCATGACAGAGTTATGACCGTCCAGTTTGATTGCTTGACAAGAGTCTTGAGCCCCATAAACATGTTAGTCATATAATGACAGTGGCTACGTACTTATTGACACTTTGCAGCTGATCTCATCAACATCACCAACACCCTTGGGGTGTGATGCTAACTGTAAGCATGCTCTGTCTGAGGCTTTGTAATACTTCAATCTGAGCTTTTTTGAAATTTTACCTATACCAATAAATTGAGTTCATATGACTCATTTATTACACTGTGCAGATCAAAAATACAAAAATGCTGTTTGTTGAAGCAGTAATGATTGAACTGAATCTGTGTTTTGTTTGTTTCTTAAATCTATTCTCCAATTTATTTGCTTTTTTGTCCTAGGTGGATCAGGTAACGAAGAGGAGGAGCCAGCACAGAAAAAAAGAAAAGAGCAACAGCAATATGTCCAGTCAGAGGAATTTCAGAAGATTCTCAATGCTAAATCCAGACACAACGCCATACTACAGGCTGTATGTTATTACTTCAAAACCCAATGGAAAAAATACACAGTATGCTGTAAAAAGCTATTCACATTCATTTAAAAAAAAAGCTGAATTACTATTATATTTCAGGCAGAGTACCAGCTGCAGGAGAGGTACTTTGATGCTCTGGTGAAGAAGGAGCAGATGGAAGACAAAATGAAGGGCATCAGAGAAATGAAGTGTCGCGCTGTCACCTGTAAAAAGGTAGGATTTGTGTTCAGTGACTTATACGAGCTAAGTTTAGAAAGAATTTAGATTAAGCAAATTGACTCCTCTGTTCGAACAAACTAAAGACACTCTCAGAAAGTGTTTAAATCTACCTATTTACCAAACGTAATGTATCCTTTTTAAATTGGAATTTGTTGGAACATGTGGTGGTGGTCCATAACTTATCATTATTCAAATCTTTTTTAATTTATTTATTTCATGGCAAAAACACATTTCATAATCATAAAAGAAATGTCCAGTAATTGAGCTATTTATGGTTGAACTTAAATAATAATTATTGACTCTTTTTTCTATAGTGTAAGTACACTTACTTCAAACCAGCCGATCGATGCGTGGGAGAGAACCATGATCTGAAATGGCATGATGCTGTGAAACGATTCTTCAAATGTCCCTGTGGTCAGAGGGCCATCGCTCTAGACAGGCTGCCCAACAAACACTGCAGGTGACTACACGCTATTTTTCAGTTTTGTATTTGTATTTACTTATTTATTTTTTAAGAAAGAGCAGTGTCACAGTGTTTCCCATTATTGGATGAGATTATGGTGAGCCTCCCGTAGTGTAAAAAGAGGATGAACAAAAATTGGTGATACATATGATACTTTATGCTTCTAATATTGTCAAAACCATACAGAAGTAACTGTATTTAATTCAGAGCCTTTTTAATCAGTCGGGGCAAGGATGTTGAATAAAAAGGCTTCAACAAGTATGGATTGTTTGTGCCACCATAGTTTCAGTATAAACTATTGAACACGTTGAGTCACATTGTCTCTAAATGGCCTGACTTGAGTGTCATATCTTAGAAGCACATTCCTTTACAGTATATGGTGCTAGTCTTTGAATTTAAGTCTTGTTCTTCATCTTTTAGCAACTGTGGCCTCTTCAAATGGGAGCGTGACAGTATGCTCAAGGTAAATCCATGTCTCATATTGTCAACTTCATGATTGTTACACTATCATCTTTAAATAAACAATTGTATTTTTTTTTAATTACAGGAGAAAACTGGTCCTAAAATTGGAGGAGAGCTACTTTTGCCTCGAGGTGAAGAACATGGCAAGTTTCTCAACAGCATGAAGTGACAGAAACTTTTAACTTGATCTGTATATATTTAGCATTGAAGCGACGGGTTTTAGGAGTTTTTCTTTATTGTAATACATCATGGTTTTAAACAAATAATTTTATTTGTTTTATTGTCGTCTGTATATTATATGAATTATATGAACTTTTGATTAAAGTAACTGAAAGGCATGGTTACATTTTGTTATTATTAATGAGACACAGGCACAATACCACTGTCTGTAGTTTTCTTACAATATAAATATTTTACAGAATATAAAGTCAATATTTTAATTTTCCAAGTCTCCAAAACGACTTTTTGTGATATTATCATTTTTTCTGTATATCTCCCACCTGGGTATTCGTTTGTGAATTAATTTCAGTAAATGCTGCATGTATGGATTACATGTGAAATTAAACAACTTATCCCCATCCCTTCAAGATATAGGGTTGTACACCATGACAGTTTAAAACATTTATTCATTTGGTTCCACATATTTTGGCTTTCATCAAATACTTTCAAATACTATAATACAAACCTGTGTATATTTAGTAAAATTCTCAAAATCTCGGTTGTAGGACTCCCATTACAAAGCCCGGGCCATTGCTCCTCTGCTTCTGAAAACTTCACTCAGCCCTAGTGTGTTACCATTCCATTTGAATACATGAACAATGGTGGCTTTATTGGCTTATGGAAATGTCTTCACTATAATTTCAAACTCTTATTGGTGTATTTGAAGACAGATCTCATCTAAGAGGTACCAACTTAACTTCGAAGCTTCAACAATTTTAAAGCGTGCTGAAATAATTTTAAAGAGTGTAAAATGACTCCAATGTTTCGTACCACTGTTCCTTCATTTATAATCGTTAGTTTTCTGTTGTCAGTCCCACACAATTCAGCTTTTCAGCTTTTGCCAATTTTTCAGTCTAAATTTCCACTCCAGATCCCGTCTCACAGTGATGACTTTTGCAGCCCACTCACATTCCTTTTTTTCCCCCATTTAAATAGTCCAAATACCATAGTGTTTCAGGGGGAAAGAAAAAATGCATTTGCTGTTTTTTTTTTGTTTAGAAATATTACTTTTTAATAAATGTGGAGTGGTGTTTATAATACACATGTGGGCAGGACAGGACAGACATGCAAAACATAAAAGATGGAATATACAATGGGCATTTACAATATATAGATACAATTGTTGTAGTCATAGATCCATGTTTGTTTGTTCTGATCTGTTGTGAGCATCCTTAGTGAAACCAGCGGGATCGTGGATACAGCCCGTCATAGTGAAACTCCCGATATTGTTCATTCACCTCCCGAGTTCTCTCCAGTTGTTCTGTGGAGCAAAAATCCAAAAACAAATGCCAATAACACAACTGCTACCAATAATTTTCCTAAAAGAATGTTGAATACTTTAAGTTAAATAAAGGTGCATCATGTAACTTTTCTGGTGGAGGGTCGGCAGTGTGCTTACCTTCAAGAAGATGCTTCTCCTGAAATATCCCACAGTGGCATTAAACTTGTCCATGTAGCATTTATTTAATTAATTCTGTTTTTATTTCTCTTTTCAATATTTCCAAGTGAAAAATATGCTTTATTCCTAAGAGTGGGATTGCCTCTCCACAGATCTAACCTTGACCTTGACCTGTTGGCACCACCTGCTTGTCTTCATGGAGATGGGTTATGTTTAATGCCAGATGAGTGTCAAACATTCCAGGCAAAGCAATAACATCTGTATCCTGTGTCCTCCACCAGAAAAGTTACACTGCTGCTCTATGGTAGATCATTGTATCGTAACAGTGGTACAGAAAACCTTTATAAAATACATCTAGTAGTGGTAATTGGGTAGTTTCTTTCATGTCAACTTGTGATTGTTCACTCTGTCCTAACCCACTTATTATATCTTTGAAACTGGCTTCACACCACAGTATCGGCGGGTAACTTTTCCAGCAGCATCTAAACACTAAAATTACTTGCTCAAATTCAAAACAAACACTTGAAAGGCATCTAAGTATACTGAACCTGGGCATTTGTTGCAGTGTTGGGAAGTAACTGAATACATGTATTACATGTACTGAATACAAATACTAATTTTGAGTAGCTGTATTCAGGTAGTGACTTTTTCATTTGGTGGTATTCAGAATACAGTTACTTTTCTAAAATACATAATACACAAAAGGAATACATTATGGTATTTGATCATGTAATTTTAGACAACACTGCTTTTGTGGAGAGGCATGTGTGATTTTTTTTCCATCTCCAATTAGTTACAAGTTAGTAACAGGAAATGCTTTAACATTTGTGAAACAAATATAAAGCCATTATTAATACCATATTGCATCTTTACACTATAATTTAAATGCAGCCCAATGAAAATTAAATCCACAAGCAGCATAAAATGCCCTCGCCCATATTTATTTATTTATGTCTGATTTGGACTGTACTTGTCACTATACAAAGTCAGCACACATTGGAAATGTTGATATTAGATAAGCATGGGCACTTTCGACTTTGGCCCCCTAGACTTTTTTGGTCGGGGTTACCTGATCTGAACTGTGTCCAAATAAATTCCCTTGTGGATCAATAAAGTTTATCTAAATCTAATAAGAATCACAGTTTTTTATCAGTTTGAAATGTAATTTTGAATAATTTTGGATAATTTTGGATTACATTGGGCGATTCGTCTATTGACTCAATGGGGCTGGGCCTCAGTAATCAAAGTATTCATACTTTCAATACAGTACTCTGATTGGACCATGTATCGGAATACTCTACAAAATACATTTTAATTTAGGTATTAGGTACTAAATACAGTTTCAAAGTATTCTTCCCATCTCTGGTTGTAGCTCTCATGAGAAATCGTCACCCTTATAGAAATCTTTTGAAAGCATAACTCACCATCTCTGTCCTCTTCCAGATAGTTCTCGTGCTCATTCCTCTGCTCTTCGTTGAACTCCCTTCGTCTCTCATTGTTGGCGATGTACACTCTCTGCTCAGCTGCACCAACACATGGAAAAGTACTACTGTATCATAGTTTATAAAAATATTACTGAGGCATTGTCAAACTTTAAATTATGCCTATTAATCAGTCCTTTATCCTAATGTAGTAGTTATAAGCATGACTCACCTCACAATATGAGGTGTGGGTGAAAAGATTTGGCCTTTATTCTTATAATACCAGGGCTGGGAATCACAGGCTCCCTCATGATTCAATACACAATATAATACATAGCTCACGATACAATATTATCACAGATTGGTGATACTAATATACTATTAGTAATATATTGCTGTGTTTTTAAGAATTTATTTGTTACTATTACTACTACTACTACCCACTACTTGTGCAAAGTTAATAATGCATTTATTATAATCATCAAAACTGAATACATCAACTGTATTGCATAAACAAGTTTCCACTAAATAAGCTACAAAACTGTAGTGCTGTCACAAAAAAATTGCTAAAAGATACCAAAAAATACTCTTGGCGATATGTTAATATAGCAGTCTGCAATAATGATACAATATCACCAAATTTAGTATCACCATATATCGATATATATTCAGTATTTTGATATTTTTGCACACCATTATCCTGTTTTGTACACAGTGGAAAACTAATTCTATTGTGACTACAATGACTTTTGTACAAAAATTTGACTGTTGGCAGTAGAGGGGAAGTCATAGATGGACTGTTTTGTTGGATGTAAGACAGACATCTAAAGAAATATTGGGGAAATTGAAATCCTTTTTTGTATGTACAGACTGAATCATGGTCAAGTTCCACCATGCGAATATTGCACACAAATATAACAACCATAAGTAATTCAGATCATGGGAAAACTAAATAAATTGACACATGTTCCCATAAAACTATCATTGGCAGATTAAGAGACAGTTTTATGCAAGAGTGCTTTATTTTCCTGGACCGTATTATTTCATTTCAAAAACTTTTTCTTGGCTTAAATTAAATCAACCTTAACTGGTGAAGACGCAATTGGAATTCACTTGGAATATGATGTTTTGGAAAAATTGGTGAATCTGAAAAGGGAAATTGTTCTTCAGACCTTTATTTATATTTTTTCAGATTTGCTTTTGTATGGTTGCTATTAGTTGTCATTGTTTAAACCAGAATCAAAATGAGACTTGCTCCAGTGTGTCCTGCGACTCCTGCTGCTTCTGTTTCCACTGAGTATGTGAGAGAAGAGGGGCTTAAAGCAGCTACTGTGTAACCCACCTGCTTTAACTTTCCACTGTCTGGTCCTATTAAACTCACCATTTATATACAGAGTAGTCTGAATAACATTATATTTACAGGAATTACAGGTAAGAGCTATGTCTGGTATGTAAAGGGGGTCCATCACCTGCATGTCTCTATGGGAATGTTATTACTTTGCCTGGTAATTTGCATAGTATGGCATTCCATTTAGCTTAGCAATTATTTAATTATTTGTTTTTGTTGTTAAAATACATCTTGGAAAAACATACAGCCTCTCCACAGATCAGACCTGTATCTTGGTCTGGTGGCTTGTCTTCATGAAGATACATGAATGCCATACATGAATGCCATAAATCTCCATGGAGCCCTCACCTATTCGCTCTGCATAGGTTGACCGACGGCTGCGACGCTTGAAAAAGTTTGAAGCATCTGATTCGGCCATAAACACCTGCCGCCCCGCTGCTGGAGGTCAGAGGTGAGAGGGGAAAAGTCATCATTCATAAAAAAAACTATAGGACAGACTAACTGTACACTGTGATGTTACCTGTTTGTGTGTCTGTTTTTGCATCACTGTCCACCACTGCACTCTCCACCACAATGGAAACTAATAAGATAAAAGTTTAATTTAACATTATTTAGTCCAAGCTTAAAGTATAGATATGTTGATGCCCTGAACACATTGATAGAAAGTAAACCAACACAGATGCAAACAAATTAGAACTTTATTATCTAGTACGGGGCTTATATTAATAAAATAATACTGATTCTGAGTGATTTAAAAATGGTCAAACGTCCTTACAATGGCATCCACTATTGATACAGAACATTACAAGATAAAACATTTACCATTAAATAATAACAATACCACATTTTTCACTATAAATTGCAGAGGAATCTAAATTCTCCAGAAGGCAGGAGAAAGTCATGGTTAAAATAAACATCAACAACTTAAAAGATAGTTATAGATTCAAATGAAATACTCACTTGACAAAATGATGAAGCTTGTCAATAAAGATGCTATGATGGCTTTAGTCCAAATCATCTTGGAACAAAAACAAAAGCTACAAATGCACAGTACAAATATTCTGAAAGAAGTAGTCTCCTGTCTGATGAGAGGCAGACAGAGAGATGAGAGATAAAACCAGAGGAGGGATGAAAGGGAGGAAGGAAGAGAGAGTGTGAGAGAGGGAGAGGTGGAGAGCAGAGTGGTTAAAAGATTTAGAAACTAGGGCTGGGAACTCGATTATCCTGGGATTTGGAAAAGAGGGGGGCAAGAAGGGAGCAAATGACATTTGCTGGTGTTGTTAAAATGGTTAAAAGTCTGAATATTCAAAGTAGTCAAGTAGTCAATAGTCCAATATCGAGCACAGTTGTAGTTCTTAGGGTATATTTTGGTAGCCTGTCTACGCCTGTTTTTAATTGTAGGTAACTGGGTTCACTGTGGAACATATCCCCGGGAAACTGTTTGTTGTCTGTGATTTTAACTGGTCCCAGTCACACACACAGGCAGATATGATTATTACGCATTTGTATTCAACTGGCAAAGTACATAGATAGAAAATAGTCTGCTCTCGTTCATTTTATATTGGAATAACTTGTAGCTACACAAAAAAAAAAAAAAAAAAAAAATATATATATATATATATATATATATATATATATATATATATATATATATATATATATATATATATATATATATATATATATATATATAACTGAGTGAAGCGGCAGTAGTTTAATTGGTATTTCTAAATTGTATACATAAAAAACTTTAATACACTAACTTTGAAGGCATTTACTGCACATGATATGAATAACTCACGGTTCAGTAGAAGGGAAAGACTGAGACTGTACAGGAGAAACATTATATATGGGTTACATAATGCAGATCTTCTTAGGTATGTGGTCTGTAAAAACTGTGGAAAACAGGTGGACATTTTACTCTCAAGGTTTTGTGCACTATAGCTGCAATATGGCGCTCTACAGCCAATATTTACACTCACATGAAAACACTGGAGGCAAAACAAAAAGTAGAATAAATAGCATTATCAGTAGTGGGAATCAAACAACCAGCCTTTGAGTTAGTGGGAAAATGTGTCTACCCATGAAGCTATTGCTACACAAATTAGAGGTACATTAGCTAGCAGATTACCAGAACAAATGGGTTCCTAGTGGCAGTTAAATTAAAATTAGATTGTTTATATCTTGGATGAAAAGAACTGATTATATGAGTTGGAAAATTTCTTCTCATTTAAACAAAGATCTATTCATTCGATAGACTTGAGTTATGCAAGATCAGGTACAAGGAGGAGAAACAGGAAAGAAGTGGGCCCACATTTAAAAACAATCAAATCCCCAAAGGACCATTGCACGCTGCCGTAAACCGTGTCCATAAACATTACAGCACACAGCTTATGTCACCTTTCTCTCCAATGCATGTTTGTAAAGTGATGTGAAGGACGTGCCACATATAATTTAGCCTGAACCATTCACACCAAAATCAAAATGTTACAGCTATCCAATATTAAATCACTGTCTGTAGTAACTTCAAGTGCTGAAAAATTAAATTAGAACCAATAGTTTTCTTCTTAGTTCCATTTACTTTTCACATTCATATGAATTTATTTATTAGTACCAATTTTTTTACATAAAAAAATGTTGCTGGTTTCAGCCTACTTTATTTTTAGTGAAATTATCTAGTTAGAGTAAGGAAATCTTAAGAAATCTTCTTAGTAATTTATCTTAAACAATATATACTTATATATCTTAACAAATATTCACTGTTTGGTGTCTTATATTAAAATGAACACTCAGAACACTCAGAAGTATTGTATTAAATGTATTACTTAAACTCTGTTCACTCGATATTACAGTCATAAACAATTACAATAAAAATATAGGCACATCTTCATCAAAATTATTAAGGCAACACAATAATGGTTAAAGCCAACTTGCTTAATCCATGATCACTTCAGTCACTGTGCTCATTCCTTAAAAAAATTCACAGTAACTCTTTGTCAACATGCAGTAAATCCTATGTTTTACAATCGTTTTCTATTTTTCAAAAACATATTATCTACAGTATATTTCTAGCAATGTTGGTTGAACATGTAATGCAAGAGTAATAGCTATTCATATTAGCCCAATCTCATTATAGTGTATTTCACTGCTTAAATTACAATTGCTTTAAAAACCCAATTCCCAATCAAAAAATTCTCACTTCAAAATTGTGTTTTATAGTTTTTTTTTGTTTTTTTTTAAGTTGGATAAAATTAGTAAAAATCCTTAAAATCTATACCAATCTATACTAATGTACTGTTTTTCTTGTTCAAAGATTTCCTTTAGCATTGCAGGTCATCCGTGTTGATAACATGTTGATATTCTTCTTCACAATGAAATCCTCTCTCCTTGCACCACTCTTGCTCTGAAAGCCCAAGCGTCCTATAAAACATGACAAAATATCAACACAAAATTATTTCTCATGTATAAGATGATAACAATAATTGTTTCATGTGAAAGGAGGTAGGCTCAAATAAGCGTTTGCTTCTTCCTACTCCTTTTGAGCATTGCCATGTTTTCTGCAGTATTTACTATTTTAAAAATGTTTTTCCTGTGTTACAAGGTGTAAAAATTTGCTCAAATAAAAAAAATAAATTAAATTTGATAATTTCAACATTAATATTCAGTTAGGCAATATTCCCTAAACAGAAATATGGGCCACCGAAGTGATGCATATTTTAAGTTAAGGGGAACAGAAGGCAGACTGGGAAATATCTTTTGAAATCTAAACACAGGTGAACTTCCACACATGATCCGGGAATCAAACCCACAACTGTTTTCACCACATTCATGATCCAAGTGATAACAAGTTTTCAATTCCACAATGACTACTAGTGTAAGTAAATTTAGAAACCACAACCCTAAGCTCAAAAAGTCCATGTAATAATTAATTTGCTGTCATGTTTACTCCCAGATACTGTTATCCAGGCCACTACTGAGTTGTAAATATTTGCTGACTTGATAAACTATGTGTTTAAGTGTGTGGCCTCTGACCTGGAATCTGAACTCGTCCAAATTGTACCGCCTCTTTGCAATCTCATTCACCTCCACCTCGATGTTTTCTTGTGTAGTTCCCCTCACATCAATATAGTAGCATTCAGCAGCAGCGTAGTGACAGGAGATGGCCTTAAAAACAAAAAAAAAAAATTACAATTAGTTACAATTTTTAAGGAGGCAACAACAATATAACAACTTAAACCCTTGAGTGAGTGAATACTGCATATTATAGGATCTTTAATTTTAAGCATGAAAAGTATGAGCCAAACACGGCACCACAGGTGTGATCTGTAGACAAACTAAGCCACACTAGACAGGCTACAGGAGGCATGTAGTATGAAGAAAAACCTCTTTTACTATAACTAGTTTAAACTTAAATTGCATGTTTAAGCAATGGAAGACATCAGACTTATTTTCTTTGCAAAACCCTCTGTTGGCTTATTGAAGTATATACTAGTACATGGATTTCAGAATGACAAATATCTACAGTTGTCATGGCAATTAATCATTTAAAATATTCTATATTTTATTCCATATTCTATATTTTGGAAAGGTGAAAAGTACTCTAAACGTTGCCTATAAGAGGAAACTGAAAGCCATAAACTACTGTTTATTTGTTGTTGTAAATATACATAAACATTTCAAATAAAACTGTAAATGAATAAAAAAATAAAATAAAGCCATTGCATTTTGTGCTAGGATTCAGATGCCAGATGAATTGTGGGTAATGTAGTTGTGTACCTTGCGAAAACCCTGTGTCTGGTTCATGCCAGAGCCATGGATGAGCAGCGGGTGGAAGAACACAGTGTCTCCTTTCTCCATCTCCAGGTGCGTTCTGGGATGGTCCGGGTTAAAGTCCCTCACTCCATGATACATCTTATTCACGCCACCCTGAAATCAAGGAAGTATTCATAGATTTGGTTATTGATGTCCAACTCTAACATGTATTCTAAATGTTATACAATGATGCTACTCAGGGACTAATGTCCTTCCTGTTGCACCATGCACCTGGGTAAACTGTTGTATTTGTTTGTATTCTGAGAACGGGCAATGGGCACTGTCCTGAATGATTAAAGTTAACTGCAGTCATGTGTTAAAAAATCATAACACTCATACAACTGTAATGTGATATAAAAATCTAGAATTATTGAATCTACTTGATCTCCTGAAGCTGGTTTAGAACATGAATCACAAAACATCAGCAACAGCCTGTACTTCCCACATGACTGTGACTTTGAGCATAATAAGACAAGATAAACTTTAATGTCCATCCAGGGGAAATTTGTCTTTGACACACAATGCAAGGTGCATAGATATCATTCAAAAGAATAGAATAGAATAAAAAGACTTGACAGGGCTTGTTAGTTTGTTGAGGAAAAAGACTGAAGTGGGAATAAAGGACAGCGTGAAGCGGTTACTCTAACATCTGCTGGCTCTGTTGCTCCTTCCATACCATTACAATTCATATTCTAAAAATAGATGAGATAGGTCACTCAAAATCTCATTGCCTGACTGACCACAACTTCGTAATGAATTGTTTAAAACAATAATGATTAAAATTATGACCCAAACTATATATACTATAAATATAATTGCAGTGCAGATGCCGTGCAGCCCACTGTTACAGATCCATATGTGCTACTTCATTAAATTCTAGTCTTCACCTCCCACTCAGGATAGTCATGCTCCTTCAGAGTCCCTGTGTGAGTCCCAGGTAGAACCACCAGGCAGCCATTTTGTCTGTTCACAACTTCCATGGCAGTCCAGGCGCAGACGATCCGGTCAGCAGGTCTGAAGGGGAAGTAATGTAGGTCCTGATGCATGGGGTGACGAGAGGTCTTCTTACCTAAAAGAAGACAACAAACGTGATCCTAATACTGTATAATAGTGTGTTAGTAAATCTGAATTCTAGACAAAACAAGAGGTTAATACAAATTATCCCATCTCTTCACATATATCCCTGGGTATCAGGAAGATAAATAATGAAGGCAGATTCAAAATGGTGTCTATATCAGGAAAAATGAATATGACAGGAACCAATCAATATCTAATATTATACATTTGTAAATAAACTAATCTGAAACCAGTGAGAAATTGAAGTAAATAAATAATACTTTACACTATTTGAATCAAAAGGAATATTCTTAATTCATGTCATTTTAAATTGTATGTTTTGAGTGCACAAAGCAAAGAGATATTGTAATGTAAAAAGCTGATGAGGGTGCGATGAACGGTCTCTCTGTAATACACCAAATGTCATACCTCAGGAGGTTTGTTGATCAACATGGTGTGCATGGCCATAATGTTGGGTCCAGTGAAACACTCTACATACTTCAGGATCTGGTACAAAAAGACACGCACACACACTCTTACTAATATGTTATTAGTCTTTTTGGAATAATCATTCAATCATTGTTTTAGCTTTTTGTAAGCTTTATCAAAAGTTTAATTTGTTATGTCCATGTCCCACCAAATTGCACAACCTTAACTGCTTTTACTATTTGTTGTTATTGTTGATATATTCAATACTATGGTTAATACAACAGTAAACTACCTGTGGCAAGGAGCAGTATCGGAAGAGCTCAGGGTCCTCGTGAAAGTCCTGCACTTTGGACACTGCTCTTTGATCTGGGACAAACTCAGATTTAGCAATGGCCACGTCCCTCATCACGACCAGACCAGGAACTTCAAATTCTTGTCGGCAGATACGCTCAAACTCCTTTCTGAAAAATAGATTACATATCAATGACTATAAACCCATTGCATTATTGCATATTGTGAATTGTTTTGTAGCACAGGTTGAATATACACGTCTGCAAAGCTGTGAGGTGAACCTGGCCAACCAGAAACTAATAGTAATCATCTACCCAACATGAAGAAAGTGCTTTACAGAATAAGAAAGACACATTAAGAAAATCACAATACAGACAAATCAAAACATAAATGATGATTAAAAAAATTTACATTAAAAGAAAAAAGTGTGGAGTAAATACCTTTCAGTTATATGTACAGCTAAACAGAACAGTTTTCATAAGAAGGATGTAAAGCTACACCGACAGTAAACCGAGAGACAGGTTGACCTTCTCACATAATGTAAAAACAAATGTGTAAAAATATGTGAAAAATCCCATTGTGTTTAGACATAACTTTATTTACCTGAATTTGTCAATGTCCTCATGCGGCACCAGATTCTTGATGACGAGGAAGCCATTTTCCTCATAGAACAGCCTCTGCTCCGGAGTCAGCACATTGTTGTCCACAGTGTATCTATAAATAAAAATTCACCAGAACTTGACAGAAGTTGATACATATGTTTGGCAAAGATAATTTAGCCACAAAATAAATCCAGTAATTTGGGGATTGTTGATCCAGACATTTATTTGTTGACGTGTCACTTGCACACAGACCTTGACCATGAGTTTTTCAATGCACCTCATGTTCTTAGTGAAATTACTCCCTGTCCAATCATTGAATCAATAACAGAAAAAGTACATATAGCACCTTTAAAGTAAACTTTGGAAGAAAAAAATAATAGCCACATTGGTCAAAGCAAATATGTTGAAAATCATTCTACAATGTGAACAGAATGCATTTAAGTCCTTTTCTGGACCTGGTGTAGTCCAGATGGTAGTACTTGGAAAGCCTTTTTCTTCTGGTGTGAGATAACAATTTTGTGTCAGCATCTCTGTGACCATCTAATCCACAAACATATCCGACATGAACAAAACCCAAATTTACAGTAATTAGGACAACCAGATATGTCAATCAATACAATAAGAAAACAAGGATGAATCTCATGTAAATAAGTGGAAGAAGTAGGTCAGTTGTAATTGTAAACTGTGCAATAAAATCAACCATTTGCTCCTCAGACAATTAATAAGTTAAAAAAAAAAAAAAAAGTTTTTACATTTACAGATTATAGGTAATAGTGGAAAAGGTGTACAGTTGGGGGAAAATAAATGGAATTAGCAAACTAACTCATTACTTTGTATTGATATGTCAGCATGCATGCATCATATTGTAGGGATATAGGTTAAATGCTTAAGTTGTAGAAAAAGACAGGGCTAACCTTAAATTCAAAGGCTGACTGAGGGTGTAGGCTTGGACAGCAGTTGGTGAAGCTCTCTGTTGGCGACCAGTAAAGGAATAAAACATGAAGAATAACTGCTTTTAATATGTTTTGGGTGAAATTGTTGTTATCCTTGTGCAGTTGAGATGATTTATTTCACTTACTTAGATAATTCACTAGTTATGTTGTACTTGAAGTACTTATATTATAGACTTAAAGCCCCAAGAAGTAAAGATTATTTTAATCTACTAGCACCACAAAACATAGTTTAAAAATATATTATATCAGTGTATGCTTTTGTGATGCATTAAAGATTGTTTTGCAGGTTTAGTTCAATTTCAGCTCAGTTTAGTTTTTTATGTTGTAGTAAAGCTGGTTCAGAGGTCACCTATTTGACTAGAGGCCTACTTGGAGTGAAACGTTTGACAACCACTGAACTTTAAACACTGAAAATCTCACAGTTTCATAGTAGTCTTTTTCTTTTCATCTGCTCTAAATTGATCATTTCCCACTATGTCGCTCCACAGGGCTTGTCCCACTTTTAACTTACTGTTTGACTAGGGTAAACAGATGTCTCTATTTACCTGGAACAGTCCCAGTTTTGAGTCCTGTGTCCCCTGTCCCAGCAGATTTATCCCAAACCTGTCTTTTGTCCCAGTGCCCCAGGTATCCATATTTCTGACCAATTCGATACCTGCTAACAGTAAAGAGAGGCATGCATTGTCATCTGTTTAGATAAAGTACAGAAAAACTGCTTAAAAATGACCACAGCGCAAAGAAAATGTGACAATACTGACTCAAATTAGTGCCGAGTAACAATTCTCCTTAATTACGCATTCGTTTCACAATTTCATGATTACCAACTAACCCAAAACAAGGATGCCCCAGTTTTTTATTTTGAAAATCTGGTCACTCTAATCATTTCTAGGATAATTGCAATATCAACCTGCCGTTTCCAACATTGTTCGTCTGGATGATGAATAAATGCTAACACTACAACAATGCAATAACCATAACACAATAAGAGGAACCCACTCGAGGCCTGGTTTGCAGATCAAGACCCCGGTCTCGACGGTGGTGCAGCCCCATCTGTATAGTTTCTGTTCCGGGCTAGCGCTGCCCAGTCTCACCGGCAAAATAAAGGATACAATAGCGGCAGGAGGACGGTCAAGATGTCCGAGTAGATGTCTGAGTCTGTCCGGTGCCCGAGACATGTTGGTCTGCACTGTTCCTGGAGCTCTCCTAGCTAGTTGCAATGAACACGTAGCGTAAGGCAAAAGTGGGTTAATGACCAGAACCAATGTGAGATAACACGCTACAAAGTACATACATATACAACAAATAATATTATAGTGAACTAAATCGCGTATGCATGTGCATTTATCAAAAGAAAATAACTAAAAACATACTTGAAGTCCATTAAACCGTTATTCTAAACGTTAAAATTTAAATAATAAATAGGTAATTTAGGCGATTTTTACTGTAGTCAACCACAAGATGGCATCACACAGTAGCTGATGACCGTGATAACCACACACCATCATTCATAAATGAAAAAAAAAAAAAAAAAGAGAGATAATTTGAAATACTAGAATGCTACCAGAATTTTTACTTTTATTTCTGTAATAATACATTGTGTTTTTTCAGGACATAATCATGCCTTATTTAACACCAGTCACCAGTGTTTTTGCTGCGTATTTTGAGTGTATTATTAACAATTACTAATTAGGCTATATTTTTTCTCTTTGTTATTATATTGTGATGCTTGAGCTACTGTGTCCAAAGAATTTCTCTTGTGAAACAATAAAGTTTGTTTGTCTAAGTTTAACATTAAAAAACACAGAATGTGATTTACGAAGTAGAAAAATGGGTGAGAAGACGGTGACCTGCTTTGAAAAGCGATCATTGTTTATTCACCATTTAAATTAAAATGTGAATTATTTTAATATTGAAAACCGGAAGTTGGTTTTATTTTGAATGTTCCAAACGCAAACAAAACAATCCGCCTTTATTGTGAAAGAGTCGTTTCCATGTACGTATGTCTAACTTGACCGCTGCTGCCTCTTGTTGCTGGCACTCCTCCCATCTCCTGTGTCGAGAGGACCTCCTCCAGCAGCTTTAAACTGCTCCACCGCCACACCAGCGACATTTTGGGGGATCGGTCTCAACCCCTCTGCCTGTTATTCTTCAGATTTGTCCCCGTGTTTAACTAAAGGGATATTTCTTTCTTTTCCGGTACGTGGTTTCGGAAGCTGAGCGCACACGAGGAGCTTGTTGAGCCGAGGCTGTGCTGCCTTCAGTGGGCGGATAAAGAGAAGGTATCCGGGCCTGGGAGCTCCACATTCACAAGTCAGTGGGTTGGAGCGACGGAATTCAGCGTTTTCAGGTACGTTTTCTTTATGATCACAAACAGACAGCACATTTACACGCACACAGTGTCTCATATGCCGTTCACATCTATCTCTACAAAGAGAACTAGACTGGTAGGTTCATTGGCAGACCCAGTGCAAATGAAAACATAGGAAGCGAAAACTGAGGAAGAATGCGCTGCTTTTCTGTCATCCTTTGAGCCTTGTATTTTATCATCATCGCAAGGCTTTCCCAGTTACAATGTATTATTACAGATTAGTGTGGAAAAGCTTGTTCAAATATAAAGCTAGGTGCCTAATTACTGTCATTCTCATGTCTATAGACTTAAATATAATAAATAAAGCATAAGGGTCTGTAAATTACTCAATCTTACCACTATAGCAAACATAAAATAGAGATTCTTGCAGCTTAATGCTTAATAATGCACCATTTTAAGGCAGATTTTGTATTACATAAGTGTGATCAATCCATATCCATTCAAAATAGTTTGTAGAAGTATAAACCACCTTTTTCTTCCTGTGCATTAATTTGTCAATAATGTAAGTTGTAAGTGTTTCTAGCTTTTGGGGTCTCTTTGTTTTTAACTGCTTATGAAGCTTGGCATTTCCACTTGAAAGCATTAGTCTACTGGCTCAGGAGGTACTTGATGTGATCAGTGATGGTGCTCTCTGATGCTATGTTGTGGGAGGTAGCTGTATGTCATCTGACAATTTTATTACAGTAAGATCAGAGGATTAACCAATTTTACTGTAATTTATAACTATGTCAAGTTTGTTTATCAAAAGAAGTTTATTAGGGCAATAAAACAAAAAATGTCTGAGGAGAAGACAGGTGAGACAGGTATGAACATGAGGTAAACCAGACTTATATTATGCTATTTTCTGATCTGTTATAATGTGTTTCCTCATCAAAAATATACCTGGAGTTGTGTTTTAAGTCACACATTTTTAACACACAAAGAAATAGGGGTGTAGGGAAAAAAATCGATTTAGTGATATATTGCGATATTACACAAAAATTCCAGAGTTACATTTACTGTTCTCCTGTTAAAAATAAAAACATGAATTCATGTAATACAATTTTGTGCTTGTGAAGTTGTATATGACTATATTATTTGAAGTCGTTATTGATAAATCACAATATATTGTCCTTTGTTTTAGTATTGGGATATATCAGAATATATAGTATCGTGACATGCATAGCGTGATATGTATCGTATCGTTAGACTCATGGCTATGCACACCCCTATGAATAAATAATTTCCTTTCTCGATCAGTAAAGTTTGTCTAACTCTAAATCTTGTATATTTAAGCTAAGTTCTTCTCTCAAACTGAGAGGACTCTGTTCCACCTTCTAATGTCATGTAGTAATGCAGGAAGTGCTCCACTATGTTTTTAAATATGTGCACCTCCACTAGAATCATTTAGACAATTTCAGCCCTGGAATTGCCAACCTTTACTAAACAAAAGATAAAAGACAGCTGTTAACTTAAAAAGTACTGCTTCATGAAATCATAAGGTGAAACAGAGCCTTTTAAGCTTTGGAAATGTAGACAGACTAATAGTTAAGGGTTGCTCAAATATGAAAGATGTGATGATGTTGATGATCTGAATGAAACAAAACACAACTCCAGGTGTGTTTTTGAGGCGGTAATAACTTTATATAAGTTATATGAGGTGAGATGAATTTGGGTTTTTATATAAGGGCTGATACTGGCATCCCAACATCAAAGCTAAGACAATAATAAAGCTTGTTTTAAATACATTTTCAGTTATGCAATGTGAAATTGCTACTAAAGTGTCTCATTCTAATTTAAAAACCTAGAATAATGCATGCAAATTTGCCTTTTACTTTTGGCATTTACATTGTTGATTGCTTAATTTCTGTCATATTTGATGCTTTTATAGTAATTTCTGTTCTGTGTGTAAATGACCCACATTCAGATGCATGCTGCTGGCTCTGTGATACAGCCTCAGAGGACAGTGTAATTAGCCTGACACAGCCCCCTCCTCATGTCCAGGGGCTGCGTTGTGCAGAGCTTGTATTGACTTGTCCCTGCATTATGTGGCTCACTACAGCAACATAAGAGCCGGAAGCATGTACCGTGAAATGTGCACATAACATACATTTGAACATGTATCTATAATAGCACTATTTCTTGTGCAAACACATAATGGTTTCAACATAACATATTGTGTTCCCATGTAGTAATATTACAGAAGTACAGAATTTTTTACACAGTGCATTTTAATACCTTTACTTAGAAAGTGAGTTTGTGTCAAAATCAATAGTAAATTTTGAGATCTTGAAAGTGGTAGACTTTTGAATATTTAAATCTCTGAATATTGCATTGACAAAATGTTATGGTAATAATTGTGCTATATATCTTTTGGTTTTCTACATAAAAATCTACAACAGATAATTTGCAAGTCTAATGTTCTGGACCAGGGCTGTCAATATTGACCATAAAAGTGCTTTTCTGTTCACCACTTTAGAAAGATGATTACAGACTACAGGAGGCTGTCATAAGCCACATAGAAATATCCATACATTGACTATTGGTTAGGACAATATGGTTCAAAATCCCACCGTGCTTTGCAACAGCGCTTCATGCACTCAGGGATGCACTAAAAAGCTGTTGCCATTGGTTACCAAGTCCCTATAATTTGATATTACTTCAATTTGTGGAAGTGTTTTAGAAAAGTGTCAAGTAATAAAGTTGTTAGATTGGTCTGTTATTTGTCAAAGTGAGTCATCAAACATTTTTTCCTGTTCAATGCTATGTGTGCATTTTACTTTTGTTCTGACATAGCACACAGTGTACAAAAGTGAAATGCCTTGTTTTGCTTCATTAAAGGTGCACTATGTAACTTCTAAGGTGCTGCTACTTGCTTGTCTCCATGGTGATATTCTTTACATGGGATGTTCTACAGTAGAGCATTAAATATATTTGCGCTGTATGTATTCAATTGCAAGGTGTTTAATATCTCAAAAATACCTTGAAAAACATGAATTCTTACTATGTGCAGGCTTGCTTCTCCATAGATCTGTTAACTTGTTTCCATTGTGAAAATCATATTTATTTCCATGCTGTGTAATAATCAAGGGAAAGCAGTAACACCTCCAAGGAGACAAGCAGACTCACCACCAAAAAATAAATATTATCAATAGGAAGTATTTTAGTGTATGCTTTATTTATCAACATAACATTTAAAAACAGACATTAAATGCCATTTGTATTAGTTCCTATGGAATGTCTTTCCACTGTTTGCCTTGAGGCAACAAGATGGCATTATCCATCCATCCATCCATTTTTGTCCGCTTATCCGGGGCCGGGTCGCGGGGGGAGCAGCCTAAGCAGGGACTCCCAGACTTCCTCACCCCAGACACGTCCTCCAGCTCCTCCGGGGGGACCCCGAGGCGTTCCCAGGCCAGATGGCATTATATGATCAGGAAAGAAATTAAACTGTTATCCTTTTGGTATGATTGATATTTGTTACCCTAAACACTGCAATCAATACAGCCATTTTAATAAGCTACAGAGATTAGTCCTTGCCTGTGCACAAAGGATGTTCTTAATTTAGCATTTTAATTCATCTCATGATGCAAATGCAAATAGTATTTGAATGAGCATGTTGCCTGTGTCTAGGAAGTCATAGAACATTTGTACAAAAAAGGATTAAAACATTTGTAGTTATGGCGGCATTCAGGGCTTTTTAAAAACTGCTGACAGTAATATATGTCACCTTTCCGCTTGTGGTGGTAGTATGTTTTCTGTGGGTTTGCAGTTTCTTTCGGGCTTTTACTTTAAGACTGACCACAGTAAATGTAATACTTGTCACGATGTATGCTTTATGAGAATGAGAACCACCATCTTCTTCTGAGAGTTCACACCTTGCTGTGATTGGTTATCTGTCACTGACTTAGAACATGATGGAGTAATTGGCTTGGAACGGTGTTTGAGCATAGAGGTAAATAACAATAACAATAACATGATGAGACCATATTGACCTGAATTTGGCCTTTGTGGCTACACGGATGAACCTGTCTGAAACCCATAAGCTCCAGATATAAAGAATGGCGTATCCCTTTTTAACAAATCCTTCAAACTCTCCTTGTTTTTGCTTGTTTTAAAAATGCAAAGTGTTTAGAGTGGGAGTTGAAATTTTGAGAAAAAAGAGAAAAGAGAAAAGTTATGTAATATCAGACATTTTCAGTCTGTCAAAACATTTCACTTGCTCAGCTGTGAATTTTAGAAAATGTGATGTCTATAGTTTCGCCAATGCCAAATAATCATTTCCTCATCAAGTAGCTCATTGCTGCTTATGTTCCACAAAAATCGTGCAAGATTGTCTTTAGAAAAGCGTGGGAAACTTTGTAGAGCTGCCTGCAGTTTCTGGGACTCAGGTTTAAAATGCTGTTGCCCTTGACAACCAAGTCTTACTCTTGACTTCTGCATTGTTTTATATTACTGGCTGCATAAGTTATAACAACAAAATGTATCCAATGCTTCCTATTAAGCTCTTTTATTTATGTCCTAATAAAAAAATAAACAAAACAATACAGCTAACATAGCAAAGCATAGCAAAGTGGGTCAATTAGTAATTTATGATAGCAACTGTATACTGTATGTTAAAAGTTAAGTTTAGCTTTTCTTAAACCCTAATGGTGCACTTGCATTGCCTGCTATATATTTTCCTCACCCAATAAAGGCCAGAACATGGTAAAACGTGCACATATGTTGGTCTAGCTTACGTCTTGTGGGGCAGTTTTCAGCTGTCAGTTCACTGCTTATGGGTGGATTTGCAGCAGTGGAGGCGAGGTGGCAATTACTGGGTTTTTAGGGTCTTATTCTTGGTCTGCGTACAATTTTAGCGTGGGATGACTTCAGCTTCACAGTCAGATGCAGTGATGAGGGAAAGTTATGCTAACCATGCAAAGAATGTAGAGTGGTGTGAGTCTATTGTCTCATTCACACTCTTAGTGCTATTTTTATGGGAGAAATACACAATCCAG